GCAGAGCAGGAACCTCAGAAGAACCAAGCAAACATAGAGTGGGCTTAGTTCATCGAATCCCAGCATCAGCATGTTTTTAGAGTTGGAGGGGTAGCCTGAAATGGGTGGAATGATGTTAATAAATACATTTGTTCACAAGGTTCCTACCTAATAACTTAAGTAGCTAACACATTCAAACATGCAACAATTACCTAAATATGAATGTTGTCATTTACCACTCAGAGAAACTGAAAAACAAATTAAAAAATAAAAACACTGCTTGATATCGCACAGCAGTGTACAAGAAGGCAAAATACCTAAGATAAGAGGATTTCTAAAAATCTGAAGAGATAGTTGGAAAGTTATGCCAGTTGGTGAGCCCAGAAAGTTAGTTTGGGACACACCATTGGGGCATAGTCCCCACAACTTTGAGCCACAGTATTAACTGGATTATTTGCCAGCTTCCGCCGTATGATGGCGCTAGCAGAGCTTGTCAGTTGTATATCAATGCTAAATATAAGAGACCAAATAGCTATTTATCAACTTCTCCACTAGTGCCATTTCTTGTGTTTCTGTCTATCTACTGCCATGCTTAAATCCATAAGTACCTACGGAAGCTATAATATGTCACCAGCTGGCCAGCCATGAGCCAGCCGACTGAATTCAGATAATATAATACTGAGGTCGAAATTCAATTAAAGTAAATGATATTCGAGCACTTAATCAATATCTAGCAAAAAGGGTTAACTGTAATTAATTTGAACTCTGCCTGAAGTGGACAATGAGCTGCAATGTTACATGCCTTGCAGTTGCACAAAAACAAATTTATCTTCACAAAGCACAATAAGATATGTAACTAAATGAAATTAATAGACGTGCATCAATATGACTTTAAAAAGTAGCAAGTCCTATTTATATGTAAATTATGTAGGTTAATGTGTTATGTCCACTAACAGTAACAACCAAAACCAAAAAACCAAAGCTCACCAAACAGATCAAGACTTTCCTGATGGCAATCATACCCAGGCAATCCCCGAGTTGACCCAGAGTTGAAGTCAAGTTTTTCACTATGGTGCTTCATAAAGAATGATTAAAACTGACAGCAAAACACAAATAACTCATATTTTACTCACCATAATGATTTATTTTGGCTTTTTCATTTTGAGGTTTTGATGTTGGCTGTTTAGCCTTCATGACAATCTTGTTACTCAGTCACAAATGCATCCGAAATCCCACTTGTTTCCCACAAGATAATATTTAACTCAGGCCGGAACCTATCCTCACTTGAAATGCACTTAATTTTCTTAAATATCAAAAATTCACTGAACTTTTGCTGAACTTTGCAACGCAAAACACGGACACCCCAGTCCCCGAGCACCAAAACCATTATAGAGTTCAGTGACCAAAACACAGAGGGCGCTGGAAACGAAGCAGCTGCGCCACATTCCTTCCGTATCGATTTGGCGAACGCTGCTACTAATTTAAAAGCAATTTCTTGCAGATATTGCCAGAAACACGTTCGCGCCCTTTGTCTCGAGGACGAAGCAAGAAAAAGATCGGATCTTTTTCTAAAGCAGACCTCAAAAGGTTACTTTACCTATCATACAGCTCACATTATCATTTGCAATGTAACTTGAATGAACACGGAAACATATCGGAGATGAATAAGTTCATTCATTCATATCGGTTATCATTTATCACCCCAAAATATGACTGGCCAGTGGTCACGAGCAAGGCCCAATGAGACTGTAGTCCGCACATCGCGGCTCAGGTCGCGGCTGACTATCAACAGCTTGCGAAATGGAAGCAGATATGATAAATGAATCATAGGCGGCGGAACGGGGAGGGCATCGGGGCACCGTGCCCCTCTTTGATTTTGGCATTTTAACATTAGCCCTATGGGCGTTGCATAGAGAGAATGGGACCAAAAGTCGGCAGTACCCCCCCCCCCCCCCTTAATTTAAGGTGTTCCGCCGCTACTGAAATGAAGCAGACATTTCTTAGCCAAACCAAAAGTGTACTCCATTCTCATGTACGAGTATTTTGCTGTGTGTGACCTATGGCTATTGCAGGACCAGATGACGACAGGGGTACGGATACGGAGACAATGAGCTGAAGTCAAAACTCGGAGGCGGCCACCAGTTGGGGAGCCAGCACCACTCGGTCCATCCCCAGAGACGGGCTGCGCTCTTTGACAGCAGATTTCCGGAGTTCACTCGACTGGAGTCGACCAACGCTTTGACCCGGAGGGCGGGACGAGACATTGATAAAGGACGAAAAAGGAGGGGACGGGAGCATGAAGATGATACAAATTCCCCTCGATATGATTTAGATACATTGTATTTACAGTGAGCGAGACAGACAAGGTACACGAAGCTATTCCAAGGTAACGTATGTGACTAAACAATAAATGGTTATGTAAAACGAAGCACGAACAAGCAGGGCACGGGAACTCATAACAGTGTATGATTGATAAAAGTGGCATCATATGCCATGTTCAATTCTACAGGCAGTTATTTGTTCTACGACCTTAAACATCCTCCATGTATGTCATAGGATATAAATAGCGACGCTGACATAAGAAATGGGCAAGGCTAAACGAAACCAAAGGACCTAAATTAACCATTCAAAGGACCTCGCCTGGGGTCCGGCGAGGTCCCGGTCCCCAGACACAAAATCACTTTCTGAGACGGAGACGCGGGAGACTACGGAAGGCGCTGGTAGTTTTTCTTGGATTTCTTGCCCATTCCCGTTTGACCGCTGCCGCTGAGACCTGCAATACGGCGTCACAACGAGGTGAAAGTACTGGGCACTGTATGCCGGCAAAGCGGAAGGGATAAAACATCAAACGCCTAGTCACGTTCCCACCTAACCCGACTCACGGTTAGCTATTGGTCCGACTTTGTCATCCATGAATTACCTGATTGTGCCGTCAATCTTGTTTCACGTGCGCCCTTTGACCCTTCCAGCACCCCGTCCCCCAATAACATATCGGCACATCGCCGTCTGTTCCTACCTCCTCCCAACTCCAGGTCAACCTCCCAGGGCGCACAGAACGCACCACGCTACTAGCAGCTCCCTAAACCACATCCCAACTCCCCAGTCCCCATCTCATCGCATCTCTGCTGAGCTAGCTCTGCTCAACAATACTATTCGGCTGATATGCAATGACCTTTTACGGTTAGGGATCAAAATTCTAAGTGTGGACCTGAGCCGTGGCAGCCATCAGATCTCACCAATCGTTGAGCAAACACCACTGATTGAAAATCATACAGCCGTGAGACGTGTTCCTGCCGTGGGACGTGTTCCTCTCCAATGACACAAAGCCGGCTGATAGGCCATGTGACCTTTGTTCAGTAGGGAGCACACGTCCTGCTCACTGCTCTATGCACGTCTACTGGCCCCACCGCCGCTACTACGCGTGACCGGTGCTGCGCACAATGCGGTTAAAACGTCCCGACCGCCGAGCGGGGTGCCATTTCTGTGAACCGGGCGAGGACGGGAAATTCCGGCCCAGAGTCCACCCGGTGTCGGTGTGTCGGGGCCCGGAGGGAGGGAGCGGGCTGACCGGCCGGGGGAGTGTCGGAGCCCTGGGAGGGGAGGGAGACGGTGGGATGGAATGGACCGGCCGGGAGGAGTGTCGGGTCCCGGAGGGAGACAGATGGACCGGCCGGGGAGGAGTGTCGGGCCCCGGAGGGAGGGACAGACGGTGCAGTGGGATGGACCGGCCGGGGGGAGTGGCGGACCCCGGAGGGAGGGAGACGGGGGATGGACCGGCCGGGGGGGGGGGAGTGGCGGGCCCCGGGAGGGAGGGAGCGGGCTGACCGGCCCGGGGGGAGTGGCGGGCCCTGGGAGGGGAGGGAGACGGGGGATGGACCGGCTGGGGAGGAGTGGTGAGCCCCCGGAGGGAGACGGGGAGCGGGATGGACCGGCCGGGGGAGTGGCGGGTCCCGGAGGGGAGGGAGACGGGGGGATGGACCGGCCGGGGAGGAGTGGCTAGCCCCCGGAGGGAGGGAGCGGGCTGACCGGCCGGGAAGGAGTGGCGGGTCCCGGAGGGAGGGAGACAGATGGACCGGCCGGGGAGGAGTGGCTAGCCCCCGGAGGGAGGGAGCGGGTTGGACCGGCCGGGGAGGAGTGGCGAGCCCTGGGAGGGAGGGAGACGGTGGGCTGGACCTGCCGGGGAGGAGTGTCGGGTCCCGGAGGGAGGGAGCGGGCTGGACCGGCCGGGGGGGAGGAGTGGCGAGCCCCGGAGGGAGGGAGCGGATTGGACCGGCCGGGGAGGAGTGGCTAGCCCCCGGAGGGAGGGAGACGGTGCAGTGGAATGGACCGGCCGGGGGGAGTGGCGGACCGCGGTGTACAGAGACCGCCGCCACACCGCGGCACGGAGGGGCGCCGCTATCGGGCCGGATGTCAGACCGATTTCCCACACGGCGCTGTGATATGGTTCATCCGAAACCTAGAAATATCCGCTGGAGCGAACCCCAGAACTGGGCTGATGGAGGATCGCTGGAAATGACAGGGGGAAGGAGAGGTCGCGCCTCGGTCACGCCGGTCACGAGAAGTCACGGTCACGTCAACTTCAGTCTTATTACAAATTAAATTGGAATGCGTGGAATGGTTGGATTTTCGAGGCTACGACCTTTGCTTTTAAGAGATTACTGCGCAGATTCTTCACTAAACAACCCTATCTGGGAATTCCGAGTATGTATACGGCATGATTACGTAATTCAGAGGTAAACGTTTGCGTCCACATGGTCGTCCACGGTCCACCCCGCCCACCGACCTGACCTGACCTGTGACCCTTTGACCCGATGACCGTCACCTGACCACAGGTCATGCTGGGTGGGAGCTAATAACGGTCGCAATAGCGGCCCGAGCCGGGCTCTCACTGCCGGTCAGCTCAGAACAACACCATACACTGACTACTGAGGCGACGAGAGACGACTCCCTGACAGTCAATTAACCTTATTCAGAGTCAAATAATGGTGACCCTATATGGGAAATCGAGTAAGGATGCTGACTAAAGATAACTTTTGTATTTGAAAACACATCGAGTAAAACAGCAATGTGTGACAGTGATATGTAACGGTAAAATCTGATATAAATGTAAATAAATATGTAATTACGGGGTATCACAACCGACATTTATAGCACCGTTTATAAAGGAGAAGCGTGCTGCAGACGCACAGTTGTTCCGCTAAAAGCTTCACGTCCGGTGGAACCCCCTCACTGATAATATGGTTAACGGTGAACAGTTCTACGCTAGAAGACACTAAAATACGTTAAATACGAATAAAACAGCGGCTAAATTATGCAACCCACATCTTTTCAAAAGAAGCTCCGATTACTTGAACTCTTCTGTGGCTTGCGTGATTTGTCCTTAGTCCTATATACCAGATGACTGATCTTGCAACAAAAAGGCAAGTCCAATATCACAGCACACTGCACCCGTCCGCGAATTTTCCTCTCAGTCCACCACAAAGGCCACCGAGGCGAGAGAAGGACACAGGCGACAGAAACGGCGGCACGAGGCGACAGAAGCGGTACATCACCCGATCGGAGGCCGGCAGCGCCGCGGCGGACGCCCGCCGAACGAGAGACTCCGCCGCCCGCCGGTAGAGGACAGGGCGAGCCGCACAGCGCCCTACAGAGCGGTGTACGGCGGGTCCCGCGCCGGGGACGACAGACCTGGCAACAGGGACGGACGAGCGTCTGGCAACACCTGGCGACACAGTCCCGGCGGCAGCGACGGACACTCGGCGGGCCCAGACGGACACGAGACGGACGGAGAGTTCGGACACTCAGCGGAGTACCCTCTGGACACCGCACCGACAGAGGCGGACAATCGGTGGACCCACACGGGACGGTCGGCGACTCCGGACACTCAGCGGAGTCCCATCTGGACACTGCACCGACAGAGTTCGTACACTCGGCGGCACAAGACATAAGCCTGGCACAAACCTGGGCACTCAGCGGCACTAAACATTAAACATGGGAGGGACACGACAGACAAACGAAAATGGTGACGGCATGGGTGCCCAGGAAAAATACAACCCCATAAAAAACATTCATGCATGAACAAAGACACGGCCCGTTTTGACATGCTGCATTCAAACCAGGTTCACAGCGATCAGCATATCGCCACACAGAAAACGTGGACAAAAGCGGATACAAAGCGATTTCCATATACACACATACATCCCAACGACACATTCTGGACACTGAAAATAGACATGCGTGCAGAAAAGCCACACCAACTGACAATGTAAAAAGCGTGAAGCGTTTAGATGAAATTTTGATTGATAAAAAGAGTCAACGACATACTAAATATGGAAAAGCAACGACGCAAAATATACCAGGCTGAGAATTTAAGGCCATGGTTCAAGGAAACTTACGATCAGACATCGTCTCCTTGCTGCTTTACTGTTAACAGGATGCGGGATGCGTTATTCGTCAAAGGTAAAAGAATAAAGATCATGATAGAAATACAAATACCAAGTTTTTTTTAACAACAACAATAGTTTGGTTCCAAGTCCTAAAGTCACTTACTTAGCCCAGGTGTGTCTGTTTCTCGACGGCACCGCACCCTGTTTGTCTGAGTGGTGTCTGCTGTTTACTGTATGCCTGGCCTATTCAAATACATTAGCCAGAGGGGTGTGGTAATAACTGGTGTAAGCAAATTGACCACGGTCAAAAATGCATTACCAGAATGCACTTAAGCGAACATTTTGGGATGGTCTCGTTCCTAAGTCGGCTAAGAGCTTCGGTCCAGAAAATAAATTTATCGTTGGCATACAGTAAAATACATACCAAACTCGGCCGGTGATAAATTTTCAAGACCTCAGTCCTTACTGATTTTTGAACTCGGCCTTCGGCCTCGTTCAAAAATCCAGTAAGGACCTCGGTCTTGAAAATTTATTTACACCGGCCTCGTTCAGTATTATATATTCCCTGTCTCTCCCGCGGTACCGCAATTGCCCCAGAGCCACGACCACAATGCACACATCCCCGTGTCGTATTTGTATCAGATCTGTCTACAGTTCCACTCTCGTGGTACGTACTTTGTTAGTTCTGACTACAGACGCCTCCCTTCCCACAGCATGCAGTACCGCGTTTGTCAAGACTCTGCCACATGCCTACTGTCCCCTCCCGCGATATCGTACTGGACCTGTTTAGACTCTGCCTAGTGCCCAGCCTCCCCCCGCCCCCAAACACGGTCGTCACCGTACCGTACCAGTCTGAGCTCTGACCAGTGCCTAGCCCCCCCCCCCACCCCAGCTCCAAACACGGTCGTTACCACACCGTATTAGTCTGAGCTCTGCCTAGTCCCCCTTTAAACACAGTAGTCACCGTACCGTATTTGTCTGAGCTCTGCCTAGTCCCCCGTCAAAGCACGGCTGTTACCGTACCGTATTTGTCTCGGATGGCGTCGGTGCGGGTCTGTCTCTCGGCACGCCGCTCGGCCTGCCGCTGCTCCCTCTCCTGGCGCTCCCGGGCGTACCGCTGCTCGTCCCGCTCCACACTGGGGGAGGAGATGAGGGGGTCAGGGAACTCCCGGGCGTACCGCTGCTCTAGGTTAACCACACTCCCGGGCGTACCACTGGTCGTCCCGCTCCACACTGGGGGAGGGAGGGGGTGGTCAGGGATACCTACCACACTCCCGGGCGTAACGCTGCTCGTCCCGCTCCACACTGGTGACGGAAGGGGAGGGTTAGGGGAGGGGATAGCCTTACTCCTGTACCGCTGCCCCCTCTCCTGGCGCTCCCGGGCGTACCGCTGCTCGTCCCGCTCCACACTGGGGGAGGTGGGGAGGGGAGGGTTAGGGGAGGGGATAACATTACTCCCGTACCGCTGCTCCCTCTCCTGGCGCTCCCGGGCGTACCGCTGCTCGTCCCGCTCCACACTGGGGACGGGAGGGGAGGGTTAGGACTGTTAGTTTAATTGTTTACATTCCTGATGTGCTGTATATGTATACGTAAATGTGCACGGTCTTGAGCATGCGCATGTGTCTCTGGTTTCCGCATGTGTTTGGCATGTGCATGTGCATCCCGCGCTATGCATCCCGTGCTATGCCTTACTCATACTGTCTTCATTTACCTTTCAGTTTGTGGTGGGGCTTAAATAAATGCACGCTCAAGAGATATTGATCTTTGTAAATTGAACATTGGTAGCAGAGCGTGGTTACAACCACCACCTATGCGTCAAGATTTGCCATATTCAGAGTGGAAGCATGAGATCAAAGTGTGGAAAGCTTTCACTAGCTTGGAGAAGTCCAAGTTGGGACCAGCACTGTTCCTGTCCTTAAGTGGATCTGCCAGAGATGCAGCCCGTGAGGTGTCAATAGAGATTCTGAACAGTGATACTGGACTTGATGCTCTCATAGAGAAGTTGGACGAGTTGTTCTTGAAAGATGAGAACAATGCAGCCTTTGAGGCATATGATGCGTTCGAGAGATATGAGCGACCATCTGGCATGTCTGTGTTTGAGTACATCAACACATTTGAAAGACTGTATCAGAAGGCAAAGCACTACAAGCTGGAGTTGCCTGATGGTGTTCTAGCGTACAGACTCATTCGCAGTGCTAACCTTTCAGATGCACATCAACAGCTAGCAAGGGCAACTCTGCCGTCGCTCACATATGCAAACATGCAAACCCAGCTGAAGAAGATCTTCACAGACAGTAGTTCTCAGGGTGTGCCGTCAGCGAGAGTGGCAGTAAAAGTCGAGCCCGTGGATACAGTCGCAGAACCAGGGCTCGGCCAGGCGGCCGACACCCTCTTCGTACAGCGAGGCAGAGCACAGAGTGTCGGACGAGGTTTCAACCGAAGAGGACGAAGTGGTGGACCGCGCTTCGCCTCACGACCGCCTCTGCGTGGCAGTGGGACTACCTGGACTTCACGTGGCGGCTCGAGAGATCCTGGATCTGCTGGACAATCCGCCAACCAGCGCACAAGGGCTAGATCTAGGCAGAATCCACGGGATTTAAGGGGTAATGTGACCACCTGTGCAGTGTGCAACTCTTGGTTTCACTGGGCCAGAGATTGCCCCGATCGCGGTGAGGTGTTCGAGGCGTCTGCTTGTGACGATGATAGCCATGACCCCACACAGGACGAGGAGGCATTCGTGACGTTGTTTGCGAGGGATACATGTGAAAGTGGACCAACTGAACGTTCAAAGACGGAGGGACTGCTGGGCGAAACACTAGGCTATGGTATCATCGATAGTGGATGTAGTAAGACCGTGTGTGGTGAGGTGTGGTACAAATGTCACTTGGATGCCATGTCTTCAGATGACGCGGAGCGAGTGGTAGAGGAGCCCAGCAGCACAACGTTTAGATTTGGGGATGGTGAGAAGGTTACTTCTCTAAAGAAAGTAACGTTTCCAGCACTGGTAGCCGGTAAGACGGTGCGCGTGGCTGCTGATGTGGTTCCCTATGAGATACCTTTACTCCTCAGCAAGGAGTCGCTGAAGAAGTGTGATGCGCTGCTAGATTTTTCCCGAGACACGGCGGTACTGTTTGACACTGAGGTCAAGCTATCTGTGACCTCAAATGGCCACTACATAGTACCTGTGGCGAAGTTTCATGTCGGTAGTGTGAGTGCCAGGCAGGACATAGAGCAGGTACTTTTTTGTTCAAAGTTTGAGGGTGCCAACGAGAAGGAGCGCATGCAAATAGCTAGGAAGTTGCATCGTCAGTTCGGTCATCCTAGGAGTGTGAAACTGCAGTCCCTGTGTCTTGATGCTGGCGTCCAGGACAAGGATTTCTTTCGCATGCTTGTCTCAGTGGAGGAAACCTGTGATGTATGTAAGAGGTATAGGAGATGTCTGCCCCGACCAGTGGTTGGTTTTGGGATGGCTCGCGACTTCAATGATGTCGTTGCGCTGGATCTAAAGCAGTGGGGACCTGGAGTATGGTTTTGCCACATGATAGATCTGGCCACGAGGTACAGTGCGTGCGTGGTAGTGAAAAACAAAGACAAGCAAACGATCCTGCGTGCAATCATGACTGAGTGGATAGCTAGGTTCGGGGCACCCGGTCAGTTCTTGTCTGATAATGGAGGTGAGTTCAACAATGAAGAGTTCCGAGAGATGGCCGAGGCGTTCAACATACGCGTGCGGACTACTGCTGCAGAATCCCCTTGGTCGAATGGGATCAATGAGAAGTACAACGGTATCATCGCCAGCACAGTGAAGAAGGTGATGGATGACACTCCATGCTCTCTCGAGGTTGCTCTGGCTTGGGCTGTGTCAGCCAAGAACTCTCTTGAGACTCACCTGGGATTCAGTCCTAATCAGCTTGTGTTTGGGCGAAATCCGAACAACCCGGCGTGTCTCCATGACAAACCTCCGGCTCTGGGACCTCCTTCCGGAAGTGATTTGGTGAGGACACACCTGAACGCCATGCATTCTGCCAGGCAGACGTTCATTCAGAACGAGTCGAGCGAGAAGTTGCAGAGAGCACTTCTTCACCAGGTCCGTCCCAGTGGTGAGAGGTTTTGCTCGGGTGATGTCGTCCTGTACCGACGTCACCAAGATGACAAGTGGCGAGGTCCAGGTGTCGTCATTGGACAGGAAAACAAGCAGATCCTGGTGAAACATGGCGGCGTGTACTACAGGTGTCACTTAAGCGCTGTCGTGCGCGACACAAGTGAGCCGCGGGAACTGACAAAGCGAGGCCGGATGTCAACTTCGGATCCGGCTCCAGGGACCCAGAAGTTGGAGAAGATCAGTAGTGCTCCGATCCCGGAGTCTGCTGAAGACTCCGATGATGATGAGCAGAACTCCAGGTCTACTTCGTGTACGGTGTCTGGGGACGCAAGACAACGCCAGTTGGTGACGGTATCACCCACTGGCGGTCTGCAAGATGTCGAAGGCGGCTCTGGTTCGGAACCCGGATCGCTAGCTCAGGCTACCAGAGAGTCCAATGCCATGGACAGTGATGGTGGCTCTGGTCCGGAACCCAGTTCGCCAGCTCATGCCACCGGAGATTCCAGTGTCGTGGTCGGTGGTGGCGTCGTCGTTCGTGACAAACCCTCGATACCTCGCGCTAAGTCGCGCATTACCTATGTTCTTCGTGATTCCTCTGATTGGAAGAGTGCCACAGTCCTGAGTCGTGCTGGGAAAGCCAAAGGGAAGTACAAATCCTTTTTGAATGTTCTTGACGATGGTGATGAAGTTGGCAAATGTGTAGACTGGCGGGATGTTGATGACTGGAAGCCTTTGAATCAAGACGTACTGGTGTGCACCTCGGATGACATCATGGCGGCTAAATTGTGTGAGTTAGAAAACTGGGAAAAGAATGAGGTGTATTCCGCTGTTCCCGATGAAGGACAACACTGTATCAGCTGCCGCTGGGTGATAACTGAAAAAGGTAATCCTGATGGTAGCTCACGCATCAAGGCTCGACTTGTTGCCAGAGGTTTTGAGGAGGACACATCTGGAGTCCAGACTGACTCGCCAACGTGCGGGAAGGAGTCACTAAGGGTGGTGCTCGCCATTGCAGCCTCACAGAGTTGGAGCTGTCATAGTATCGACGTGAAGGCAGCGTTCCTTCAGGGTTCTCCTCTCGAACGCGAGGTGTTCTTGCGCCCGCCTTCTGAGGCTAACGCAGGGTCACATGTGTGGAAAATGAAGACGTGCGTGTATGGCCTGAATGATGCCAGCAGGTACTGGTACCTGCGTGTCAGACGGGAGCTCCTCGCACTGGGAATGGTGGCCAGCAAACTTGATGCGGCGCTTTTCTACTGGAGAGCTGAGGACGGCCTTGAGGGCATCATCACCTGTCATGTGGACGATTTCCTGTGGTGTGGTTCCTCAAGGTTCGAGAAGGAGGTGATCGAGAAGCTGCGGCAGGTCTTCCTCCTGGGTTCTGAGGAATCTGAAATCTTCAAGTACCTTGGGCTGCACATTCACCAGCAGTCTGATAAGGTGATCAAGGTTCACCAGATGCCGCAGGCTGAGGAGCTGCAAGAGCCAAATCTCTCACCAGAGAGGCGAATGCAGAAAGACAGTGAGCTCTCTCCTGCAGAGCTTACCCGCCTCCGTGGCGTGACAGGACAAATCAATTGGCTGGCCACGCAGACAAGACCAGATCTTTCATTTGATGTTTGTGATCTCTCTTGTTCCATTAGGGATCCAAAGGTAGCTGATCTACAAAGGGCTGCTAAGGTAGTTCGAAAGGCTCAGTCGGCGCGGGTTAGTCTGAAATATCCTCATCTGGACTTGTCACAGAGCTCGGTGGTAGTGTACAGCGATGCGAGTTACGGCAATCTTCCAGATGGGTCCTCGCAGGGAGGATACGTTGTGTTCCTTAGAGACAAAAGGGGAAGATGCGCGCCACTTGCCTGGTCTTCAGCAAAGATCAAGCGCATTGTGAGAAGTACGTTGGCTGCAGAGTGCATGGCACTTCAAGATGGTGCTGATGCAGCTGTCCTTTTGGCTGCGCTGATTTCTGAGGCACTGTATGACGGGTCAGGAGACATGAGTGTGATGTGCTATATAGACAGCAGAGGGCTGTACAGGGCACTGTACTCGACCAAGGCGGTGCAGGACAAGAGACTTCGGATTGACATAGCCAGGATTAGGCAGATGTTGGAAGTTGGCGAGGTGACCAGGGTCTGCTGGGTCGACAGTTCTCAGCAGCTGGCAGACAGTCTGACCAAGAGGACGGCATCTTCCAATGCTCTGTTAGACGTGCTGAAGACGGGTATTCTGTGAATCGGGTTAGGTGTCACTATGAGGATGACTACGGTATCGTTGTTGAAGGAGGTGTCGTTGAAGACCTGTTTTGTTGTGACTCGCGTATTGAACAAAAAAGATAAGGGGATGATTGTTAGTTTAATTGTTTACATTCCTGATGTGCTGTATATGTATACGTAAATGTGCACGGTCTTGAGCATGCGCATGTGTCTCTGGTTTCCGCATGTGTTTGGCATGTGCATGTGCATCCCGCGCTATGCATCCCGTGCTATGCCTTACTCATACTGTCTTCATTTACCTTTCAGTTTGTGGTGGGGCTTAAATAAATGCACGCTCAAGAGATATTGATCTTTGTAAATTGAACAAGGACTACCACACTCCCGGGCGTACCGCTACCTCGTCCCGCTCCACGCTGGGGACGGGAGGGGAGGGTTAGGGGAGGGGATAGCACTCGACCTGCCGTACCGCTGCTCGTCCCGCTCCACGCTGGGGGAGGGAGGGGAGGGGAGGGGAGGGTTAGGGACACCACACTCCCGCCGTACCACTGCTCGTCCCGCTCCACACTGGGGACGGGAGGGGAGGGTTAGGGGATAGCATTACTCCCGTACCGCTGCTCGTCCCGCTCCACACTGGGGACGGGAGGGGAGGGTCAGGGATGCCACACTCCCGGGGCGTACCTCTGCTCGTTCCGCTCCACACTGGGGGCGGAGGGGAAGGAAGGGTTACGGGTACCACACTCCCGCGGCGTACCGCTGTTGACCCCCTCCATATTGGGGACCGGGAGAGGAGGGGAGGGTTAAGGGTCTGAAGAAGGCAGTAACAACCGACGGAGCGCTGACAGTACCTGTCCCCAGCGGCGGCGGAGTACCAGCAGAGCAGGTGAACAGGACCCCCAATAGATCACCACCAGCGCCCGACTGGCACCAGCAGCCCCGGCACCACTGTGGGCACTGCTCACCTGCGCGTGCGGCGGCGCTTGCACCAGCAGTAGCACCAGCAGCCGATGGAGAGGGCGATCACCAGCACAATCACCACCAGACTGATGATCAGCGCCAGGAAATTCACTGCAGTGGAGAACACACGCAGGGCCAGCGTCACAGACAGGTGGGGTGAGCGGGACACTGCCGCTACAGGCGTATAGCTAGGTTCGGGGGAGATAAAACGCATATCTAGCATGATCTACGTCAAGTACAAGGTGTCTTCACGGCTTTAATCACAATATGATGAATGTATAGAACTGCACTTTTACCTACTGAGACTGAGGCAAAATTCAAAAATAATAAAACCATTAATTAACGGTGCTAAATGCCTACACACTAATTTAGGCTAGGAACTAGGTGAACAATGTAGGTACCAGTTGTGGAGTACGTATCGCACAGGTGCGGCTCGGCGCGGGCAGATCCTGCCCCCGGCGGACGGTCCAGTGACCTACCCCAGCAGGTGCCGCAGCGGACGGTCTACCTACTCCAGGGTGCCCCAGCGGACGGTCTACCTACCCCAGTAGACCATTCCCCAGTGACCAGTCTATCTACCCCAGCAGGTGCCCCAGCGGACGGTCTACCTACCCCAGTAGACTATTCCCCAGTGACCCGTCTACCTACCCCAGCAGGTGCCCCCAGTGACCAGTCTACCTACCCCAGCAGGTGCCCCAGCGGACGGTCTACCTACCCCAGCAGGTGCCCCAGCGGACGGACCACCTACCCCAGTAGACTATTCCCCAGTGACCAGTCTACCTACCCCAGCAGGTGCCCCAGCGGACGGTCTACCTACTCCAGGGTGCCCCAGCGGACGGACCACCTACCCCAGTAGACTATTCCCCAGTGACCAGTCTACATACCCCAGCAGGTGCCCCAGCGGACGGTCTACCTACTCCAGCCCCCCCCCCCTGCGGACGGACCAGTCTACCTACCCCAGCCCCCCTCCTCCCCAGTGACCAGTCTACCTACCCCAGCAGGTGCCCCAGCGGCCGGTCTACCTACTCCAGGGTGCCCCAGCGGACGGACCACCTACCCCAGCAGGTGCCCCAGCGGCCGGTCTACCTACCCCAGCCCCCCCTCCTCCCCAGTGACCACTGACCAGTCTACCTACCCCAGCCCCTCCCCCTCCTCCCCAGTGACCAGTGACCTACCCCAGCAGGTGCCCCAGTGACCAGTCTACCTACCACAGTAGACCATTCCCCAGTGACCGGTCTACCTACCCCAGCAGGTAGGTCCCCCCCCCCCCCCAGCGGACGGTCTACCTACCCCAGCAGGTGCCCCAGCGGACGTCCGACAGGGAGCAGTCGCTGGCCCTCCCCCCCCCTCCTCCCCAGTGACCAGTGACCTACCCCAGCAGGTGCCCCAGTGACCAGTCTACCTACCACAGTAGACCATTCCCCAGTGACCGGTCTACCTACCCCAGCAGGTAGGTCCCCCCCCCCCCCCAGCGGACGGTCTACCTACCCCAGCAGGTGCCCCAGTGACCAGTGACATACCCCAGTAGGTGCCCCAGCGGACGGTCTACCTACCCCAGCAGGTGCCCCAGCGGACGTCCGACAGGGAGCAGTTGCTGGCCTTGGGCAGGAAGCTGTTGACGGGGTTGTAGGCGCACTTCTTGCTCGATGTACAGTAGTAGCACTGCGGGTCGGGCGGCACGGGGTAGTACAGACGCCGACATTATACCAGCGGGGGCTCTCGGGCGGCGGTAGGAGGGTGGGTACCTGGTGTCTACTATCAAATGCAGGCGAACGATGCATTGCAATGCCGTGCCAGCTACGCAGGGCTCCGTAGTGACGAGGCTAAGACGTGGCTAATACGTGCACATGTCGCCTAATCGTGTCAACAACTACCGCAAAATTAGGCAGTCAGCAAAAGGTGTTCCTGCGGCTGCAAATCTATTGCGCTCGCGTGCATGTAGGTATGACTGTCTTATAGTCAAATTTTTGCATTATCAAAGTTATCGACAGACTTTTAGGAATAGACTGTAAAATAAACTATTTACAGAAAATAAACAACAAACTTACCTGAGCAAACTGAAGGCACGCATGACAGTCCTTGCCGGACTGGGCCGCACACTTGGCTGAAAAAAAAGATTAACCAATTAAAAACAACACAAAACAGCGTTAATTGAGGTGCGATCTCTAAAGATCAGTTTACTGGTAACAGGCTTGTGCGTTGCATGGCTGTAAGTGTGTCCGCAAACAGCAATCGTTGCAAGGAACAAATATGCCTTATAAAAACACAATGAGGAATACACACAATGGGGAAAGTTTGAAAAGGAATTATAAAGACACTGAAAACATGACAGTAAAAACGTAACATGAGATGGAAAGACTGGCACGTACTTTACGAAAAAAAAAATGCACACTATAATGAGAATTACAAATCAATGAATTTCCCTCCCGAGCGGCCGAGCGCGGCTTACCATCGTCGCCGTCCTCAGCGGAGCAGCCGTGGGTGAGAGCCAGCGTCACACATACCGCGATGGGCAGCAGCGCTCGCAGGCGGGGCAGCATGGTCACAACCGGAGAATTTACACACTCTGGAACAACTCTGAAACGAAAACGGCCGCGAGTGCCTGTGACTTGTGACTTCAGATTTCAACAGACAGCTGAAAGTAGGTCAATAGCCTGATCCGGCAAGGGTCAATGAAATATCGAGTCAGGTGTACTTTTAATTACTTGGGACGGAAATTGGGTGTCTGTGTGTTCTACACCTTTGTTTTCTTACATCGTAATGTTTGTGAAATGTCCGGCATATGGTGGGTAGTGAGGGTACCGAAAATAGGTTGTGTGGAAAATCAGGGGCCGTATTCACGTCGACTTCGTAAGTCGATTTTCTTTCGTAAGTATAATTTGGTATTCACGTCGACACTTCTTAAGTTTTTATCGGCGGAGTTCACGTGAATGAAAAAATTTACTTAAGAAGTAGGTCAAACTTAAGAAAATTCTTACGAAAATGATCGACGTGAATACGGCCCCAGGACCTGTCCCTGGTGATCGACATTTTATCGATAGTCATTGATCGCTAACGATTGTAATCTATCGACGCTGTCGGTTGATCATTGTCATCACAGTTCTTTGCCTGTATAAAATGCCTTTATAATTATATGCCGAAACAGCCAATGGAATCACAAGACTGGAATCGCGCCGAGTTTGTTCGAGTTGAGTTTGTTTGCTCCATAGTCCATACAATGTAGATTATCAGCATAGGTATAGATCTGTCCGTATCATGAAAAGCAGGCGAACGTGACAAAACATCACGCCAACTCAGCCTCGCCCAGATCGTGACGCCTTATCGTACCGCGCTGGTCCTGTCCGAGCGTGCACATCGCACACGATATCGGGCGAGAAACGGGAACTGGGCAGCTGGGACGCACGTCACGACCGAGAGTCCAATAAAGATAGTCCGGGGAGGATTATACAGATCGCGCCAGCGGGCCGTGAGATCAGCGCTGATGAGTCCAAGCAGAATCGTTCATCGGATAACAGCAAGGTGTCATTTTGGCACTGCGAAAGGAAAACGACCTGAATCATGAAAATTACTCTTATAATATCCTCATTATTTAACCCCCTGAAGGCGAATTGGGTTTTAAATAAGAAACGTCCGGATCACTTTTTTCGGAACAGTAAATTGATATTTGGGAACCACTACCGCCACCTCAGACACATTTCCCCCCCCCCCCCAAAAAAAAAACAGACCTCTACATAGGTACCTACCCGAAACTTCACAAACTTCCAATTGCCAGTATAATGCATAGACCCGTCAGTGCTTGTGACGTCGTGGGTTGTACTTTCCCTTCCGCGTTCGTTTCTAGCTCAGTAGGCAGCTCATGACTCATCAATCATCATTGCTCATCGCTGGATTCGTGAAATACGCCGGTACGGCGGTGAATCCTGCGGTCGGCACTGCGGTGCCGACCGGGACCGCCCGCCGTAAGGGTGCGAGACCCGCGCTTCCCGCTCACTGCCACGGCTCACGGAGAATGCGGTGGTGGAGAGCAATATGCTGACCCCCTATCTGCCATTTGTAGTAGCAGAGTAGCAGAATCAAAACAAAATAAATTCACTTTCGAGTCTGGCACACACTGCTCTGAACTTTTCAGCCAAAAAGTCTAAAATCGCTGAAAAAAAAAACTAAAAGTTTTATAGAAACTTGCATGGACATGTAAATTGACCCAGACTTGATACAAACACATCCAAAATTGTTTCATTTTGATCCAACTGATGCAACTGCATGCTTCAGTCTAAATTGGGGAGCAATTAACAAGTGTAAGGTTGATGAAGCAGCATGAACCTAACCTGCCCTTGTAGATGCATGCTAGGAAAATTTAATGAAAGGAATTATTCATTTACTTACTGTTACTAAGAATTGGATGGACCTTACAGTCTTATAATATGGCATCAAAGCCAGTGAAGCTCCTCATAGAAACACATATTTGTGAGATTGGTAAAGAGCACAGGACACAAGGTGTGCCTTAAATATATCAATGATCAAAGTGACCTGAATTATCTTGGGAAGACAAATAGGGATGGGCCATTCCAAGCATTTATCATTGACTTGGGTGAAGAACTGAAGATCACATTGCAAAAAAAAAGCAAAAATGCTCTTGGTTATTCATTTCCACAACTTTCCCTGACATCTGCTAACAATCACTATTGGAAAACATAGCATTGATTGAAAGAAAAAGAGTGCAAATGGGAAAGAAGGTAAGGTAACTAGCTGCCTACCCAATCTCTCAGCCAGCAGCTTGTTCCTACAAATGACAATTCTTGCAAAGCTTGTTGCAACTTGCAGAGGAAAGAAAGGGCAGAGAAAAAAGAAAAAGAATCAAGAAAGAAAAGAGAAGAAAAAGAAAAAGAAAAATAGAAAGAAAAGGAGGAAAAAACACCCCAACCCTGAAGTCTGAACCCAGCAACCCTAACTATCCAACCTCACAATTCCCATTAACAGGATAATTTAGATGCCAAATTTTAATGAGCCCAAGGATACACACAACCTGTCCCACTCAACTGGCTGTGGCTGCTCCCACCAACCGCAAACCATCCCCATCAGGAGTCTTAAATAAAGAGCACAGGAATGACTCAAACCCATGCCCCTACTAATGGAAGACAAACTCTCCACCAACTGAGATTAAAGACAGGCCTTGCTCAGTTGGTAGCATCAAAACATGTTGATGTCATAGCCTTTCAGTTGAGGTGAATGTGAGGCGAATCAGAATAAACATTTTTGTCACCATACTAGGTATAAATTCAGTTCTATTTGTCAGATATATTGTGAGCCGAGGAAACTAAGAAACTCAAATCTATAACTGGACTTCTGACATCAGTGTGAAGTCATTTCAAATGGGATTGACACCAAATTTAGGGTATATGTCAAGTTTAGGTCCTAACTACAATTGTGGCGCTTTTGATATGAATATGAAACAGCAAAAATTTAAGGTTTTAGGTTAGGTTAGGTTGTAGGTTTGTAGGTTTTAGGTTGTAGGTAGGTAGGTTTGTAGGTTAGGTTAGGTTAGGGTAGGTTTGTAGGTTGTAGGTTGGTAGGTTATAGGTAAGTAGGTACCGTAAAATGGGGTGTTAAGGGACAGTGGGGTGTTAAGGGACAGTTGCATGGGAAAAACGTTGAGTCATATTAACTTCCTAATTTGAGAAGGTTCAATAAAAACTTCAGTGTGGTAGTTAACACTGTTTTGCTCTTGACCATAGGAGAAAATGGCATGGTTTTTCATGCAAGTGATTTGGTTCAAAAATGGATTTGAAAATCATGCTACATTTTCACAAAATTGAAACATCTCCAAAACTCTGTGTGTACCACATAAACTAGTGGGTGTACAGGGAAGATGAATGCATAGGTGTATTGACACATGTATTGTACATGTTTCCTGAAAAACTTGTGCAAATCCACCCATTCATTCATCATCCTCTTCCTCTTTTCCGGATACATGCATATTTTGAGGTGGATGTGGGGTGCTAAGGAACAGGGAAGAAAAAATAAAAAAATAATATCTAAATATAATTTAATTAAGTAGGCATGGAAAACACCTAATTCCACATAAAATGCTGGCAAGTTCGTGCTTTTATCTCTAACACATCTTAAGTTATGTAACAAAACATCTCAACACTCTCTTTTACAATGATGGGTCAATGGAGACTGATGTAAGTAAATGTGATGTCATCATAAAAAGGCTAAAACAAAGAGGGCAACATAATGACAAGTGACAAGCTTCAACATGGGTTTTTATTGATGACAGAAGATTACTTTTTGGTTCTGTTTACCTTATAATTAGCACATTTTCCACAAGCGTAAACTGCATTACACGTAATTGGCTAAAAAGCTCATTAGTGGTGAATGAACCTGACTTGTTTTGTGACAGAATATGCAAAACATTTCAATAAATAAATTGTGTGCCCTTCCACACCCCAATTGTGGGCATTTGATGACCATTTCTTGGAATAATATAGGTGTCCCTTAACACCCCACATTGGGGTGCTAAGGGACAGTGATGAAAAATAATAAAAAATAATATGCAGGTATAAATCTTAAAAACTTTAATGTGGCAGGCATGTAAAGCACCAAATTCCACATAAAATGCTGACAATTTGATGCTTCTATCTCCAACCCTTCTTGAGTTATATAACAAAACACCTCAAAACTGTCCCTTAACACCCCGTTTTACGGTAAGGTTAGGTCAGGTTTGATTATGTTTTTTTCTTTAATTGCGAGACATATGAGTATCATTTTTGGATTCAGGATGTCAAATAATGTAATAATATGAAAAATTTATCAATGAAATCTTCTTAGGACTTAAACTTGACATTTACCAAATTTAGACACTATCTCAGCTACCAATTTGAATTCAGGAATGTGTAGGCAATGTTTCGTTGCTCTATCTCTTCACACTGTGTCCGCCTCTGCAATGATATCGTTGGAGAGGTAGAGTCTAGTTGGCCCTCCCCGGCAGCCGGCGGGTGGAGCAGAGGCTCAGCAGCTGCAGGGGTAACCGAACTTGAACTATTTTGATTTCATGTACAAAACGATGGAACACAGAAAAAAACAGATACCTAGAAGCACTGGCAATTCTGAGTTATCCCGAAGAAGAGATGATCAATTCTTAGCAATCTTTCCATACAAATTCAAAATTAATAGCTAATCGTACTTCGTAGGAAGTTTAAAGATACATACCAAACAATTTGGAACTGTTACCTGAGACAAATCCTGACAGATTTCTAAGACAAATCCTGAGTTGGAGTAAATTTGGAGTAAATAAGCAAAAGGTGTTCTAATTTTTTAGCGACTCTTCGTTAGCTAAAAGTTCACTAATGAAATTCAAGCTTCACCCGAGATAACCTTCTGTGAGCAGCAAGCAGCTGTTGATGAACATATTAAATGAATTAGTTGCGCCACTTTTGGTATGTATTGTGTGGAACAGCTGAAACAAATAATAACGCGATACCTCAGTATGCCCAAGCCCCAAACCCGCCTTCTATAGCTTTTGCGTGAACTTTTGATATATTTCTATCGGCCATCGGCGCTGTGGTATTAGCTTTTGGTTGTCGGGTGCTGCATAAACCATCGAGTCTATTCTTCTTCGATAGTAGGTATATGAAAAATGCTAACAACATTTTTAGCGTTATAATGAGCGCAATTTTCAAAACGCAATCGCTTAGTACACGGACGAAGAGTCGGACTGGATCTGCTGTAGATATATAGGTACATTCTAGCAGCTGCCAGCTATTATGCTTACGTTTTTATTGTGCTATTTAACAGAAAGTACAAGCTCACATGCATAAACACATTAAAGGAAATAGTTCACTTTCACGAAATTATATTTTTTGCAATGGATTTATGATTTTTTATGTTCAAAATGATCAGCAAAGAAAATAAAACCTTTTTATAACAAAATATTATTTTCTATATTTTTGATATAGGAAGAACTTTTCAGTTTCTGTAAGGCACACGCGATCCAGTATGAAAAGAGCATGGGTCCCGAAAATTCTTCAGAAGCTAGAGAAATTATCGCGGCCACCGGCATTTGGGCGATCTGCTCATGCTTTTGTTACTGGAGCGCCTCTGAAGAATTTTCTGAATAATTTTCTTTTGTTACTGGAGCGTTTCTGAAGAATTTTCGGGACCCATGCTCGTTTCATACTGGATGCAAATATATGCAAGGCACACAACCTCAACGCAAGGCACCTTTTTCGGGACGAGAAATAGAATATCTTTGCCTAGGGTGATCGTTGGGCTGTAAAAGCTCCTGATTTATGCTCGTCTCAGCCCAAGCTACGGAACTGCTATTCCAGTTAAAAACCCATGTTAAAATGTGAACTATTTCCTTTAACCACATGTACCCATACGAACCGCCGGTGCCGCTCAGAGCCTGTGCTCCCTGGCGCGGCGGTTACAGCGCCCCGCCGGCTCCCTCTGCGCTGACCACTTGGTTATATAGGTCTTTGTGGAGGTAGAAGAATATGTAGCCGTTTCTCTGGTGTCCCTCGCCCATAATGTCGGCCTCGTCGACACAGCTGACTCGGCTATCGTTATAGTGGTACCAACGGTCCCTGCCGACGCTGTAGACGTCCGACACGTAGTGTCCGGAGTGCGTGGCGCCGCCGTAGTGGCTGACGATGCCCACCAGCCGGTAGGTAAAGTCGCCGGCCAGGTCCACTGAGCAGAGAGACTGGCCGTCTTCCACGCAGAAATCCGAGAGATGTGCCTGCTCTATTTATAGTCACCGTGCCTGCTCCGAGGTGTCGGCCGGCGCTCCCTTCCCCAGCGACCTCACGATGGCTTCCTGGAGCTCGCCATCTTCGTCCTCGCGGGTCCGCGCCGGTTTGGACTCGGAGTCAGCGTCCAGCACCACCAGCTCATCCTGCGCTGGCGGCGGCGGCGGCAGCGGCTCGGCACCGGTCGCCGGTGAAGAGGGACGCGCCGGCGCACTATGGTTGGAAACGGCCTCACGGATGGCCGTGGGCAATTTCGGAATATATGTATATTTGGGGTGTCATTCTGTTGGAAATTGATGAAATGTTTTGAATTGGGCAGAAAAAAATTATTTAGTTGCGCATTTAGTCTCCATTATCGTACGTGGAATCGGGAGTTTCTGATAGTGGCTTTTTTGTGCGCCGTCAAAGGTTTAAACAACCGCGCTGGTGATAGCATGTGGAGTACCTCCATGACGTTGTAAAACTGGATTATTATATATCAAAATAATCCTTGTTATGTTGGCTATCGAGTGGAGTGACTCTTTTTCCCATGCGTGTTCAAAATCAGGAACGGCATTGCATTCTGTTTGCAGTGTCACCACAGCAATATTTGCAAAATTACGTTTATGTTTCATTGGACATACAAAAAGTTCTCCATCGACCTCCATTGAGCTTTTTGGCAGAATAAATCTCTGTTCAATTCTGCATAAGGGGAACGTAAAAGCAGACTGCGCACTTGTGCGCAAAATCGTCCGTGAAGCTTCATCTCCCGAGGCGTACCTACCCGTCGCTTCGTTAGCACCAGGTCGGCTCGTCAGTCTTGCAATCGCTTATCCTTATAAATGATGGTAAGAAGCAGGGTTGCGGAGTCGTGGTGGCGCCAAATCCGACTCCGACTACGACTCCGACTCCTGACTCGTTGCCATGACTCCGGCCGACTCTGTCTCCGACTCCGGACCCCTGCCAGTGTTTCGGAGTCGTGATGGAGCTGTTCCGATTCGGACCGACTCCGACTTCCACTGCGGGCTCCTGACCGACCCCGACTCCGACTCCGACTCCTGGCTCGTTGCCACGACTCTGGGCGACTCTGACTCCGACTCCGACTCTGACTCCGACTCTGACCTCGACTCCGCACCCCTCGTAAGAAGTAACTGCTCGCCCCTGCACCTGGAGTATGGATATCGTGCAAACGTGTATGGATATCCTGGAGTATGGATATGGATATCCACCGACAGAGCAGACATACAGACATGCTGTAAACGCCATTACACTGCCAATACCATGGCAAATCAAATGGCTATCTATGGTTTTTGATCATCCTTCTACATTTTCCAAAATCATGAACTGAATGTTGGCAATTTCTCGTGACTACTTCACGACCATGATGCATGCATTTCTGAAATTGATCTTTTTCAACCAGCCACGTACTCGTATGATAAAAGGAATGTCACCATCGTGTTCTACGCCCAAAAGTACCCATAAAACATGTGTCATGCATGGGCTGCGAATAGGTACCAGTTTTAATTTTCGGGGTTATGTGCTTACCTGATTGACCTGACTTTGACCCTGGCCAGTGGCCTATGTTTGACTGACCCCTACATTGATCTGACACTCTTTTAGCACTTATATGAAGGGTTGTGACAGTTGTGACAGTTGTGACAGATTATTTAGGACCAACTGATGACTGAATTTATTTAGGACCAACTGATGACGATATAATCGAAACGCGAAACGCGAGGTACCGATTGCGAGGTTCTAAAGTCCATGCTACTGAAAGCCCGATTTCAAGTGTTTGACCTGACCTTGACCCGACCTGTGACCTCGAAATTCAACTTTAAAGTATTCATGTGAATCGTCTCGTCGCGTTCTTCTTTCGTTTGCCGCGCCTCGTGCGTTGCGCTGCGCCTATTTGTTCGCGAGTTATCGGCTGGGGGCGTTGAACGCCCCCCCCCCCCGGCAAACGGCGGATGGGGAAATACCCCAGCAACTGCCGGGTTAATCTGACGCATGCTTTGTCATTTGATCGTCATTTTATTTCTTACTTTTTTGCCCAATCTAAAAAAAAATCATAAATACTCTTTCTCCAAATTTTTGACCCTTTATGACCAATAGTAAGACACTGTGCGTCACTACGTTGATATTTCTCGCCCTAAAGCATAACAACAATATCCATTCAGTAATAGCAGTATTCAAAACATGTTCAAAATGCCTCGCGATATCGATAACATAACGAAAGACATGGGCGACTTATAACATACTTGCAATGATGACGTCACACACGCGTGACGTGACGTGACCTCGTCATTTCTGAGTTACTGTATGATGCACGAAAGACACTGGTATACCTATGCAAAGTTTCATCGCAGTCGGTCTACGCATTAACAAGTTATGGGCAAAACATTTTTCGCGTTGACCCCCGGCCATCCGTGAGGCCGTTTCCAACCATAGTGCGGCGCTGCGGTTCCGGCCGACACCGGCGATCCGGCGGCGGCGAACTCCGGCGGGCCGGCGCTGGCGGTCGGCACTGATGACGGTCCACAGGCGGCGGGCGGCGGCGACGGACCCGACCTGGGCGCCTCAGACTCCTCGAAGTCGGAGAGGGTGCACAGGGAAGGCTTCCTGCACTTCCACTCGGGAGGCCGGGTGACGTCATCCGCGACATATTCGTTCAGTGAAAGGAACTTGGGAATGCCGACATTGGCGCGGATTTTCTTCGATTCCCCCCCCCAAGGAAGACGTACCGGTTGAGCTGTAGTATCAGCGTCCTGGGCAGCTGGCTGATTTTGGTGGTGACGCGGCACTCATCATGCTGGCAGTGCTGACAGAGCCGCTCGCGCCGGTCAGGCCGCATGCACATTCGCAGTGCGTCCTGCAGCGTGGGCGTCTCCGTGCCCTGGCGGCGCGGCACTCTGACAAACCAGCATATGTTTTCTTGCCGCTTCAGCGCCGTTTCATGACACTTGGTGCACATGTAGCTCTCGACGACCTGGTACTGAAAGTTGTCTCGCACCGGGTTGTCGGTCGGTCGCCGCGCGTCGATCTCTCCCTTCATAGTGTCTAGCAGGCGCAGCAAGAACTCATTGGCGTCCTGCATCTCGGTACCTCTGAACGCCGGGTCGATGTCGGCGAACACGTCGCGCAGATCGTTGAGATGGCTAGAGACTGATTTGCTGAGTGCCTTCTGGCGCAGCACCATCAGTTTGGCGACGGCACGCAGCGTGCGGCACTGGCCGCTCTCGTCCAGGCCCGAGATCAGGGAAATCATCTCACTGAGGAACGGTCGCAGGCCCAGCAGCGACTGCAGGGTGGCGTTCTGATAGCAGGAGTTCCCGTAGTTGGGTAGGCCGATATACAAAGGGTCCTTGCCATCATTGTCGGAGTCGAGCGGCCGGATGGCCGGGACTAGCTGCAGGCCGCGGCTGGCCGCCTGCGCCTTGCCACAGTGCAGCTGCGGGTTCTTGTCGCCCTCGCCGGACTTGCGCAGCGACGGCGGCGGCCGCATCTGTGGGCTGGCGGCGGACAGCGAGCCGCCGGCTTCGGCCGAGTCACCGTAGAACCGGCGCGGGCCGACGCCAGCCACCTGCAGCAGCTTCGTGTTCTCCCTGTCAGCGCGGTCCGGGCAGCTGGGCGCCCGCTCCTTCGAGCGCGACAGTCGCGAACCCTTGGCCTCGGACGGGTGCATGGTCCCCAATGTAGATCCACCTTGGCTCGACTTTGAGAGGGAATGACTTGAGTCGACGTCAGATGCCTGCCTTCCAGCGTTTTCATCGCTATCTGGTTCTTGGCTGCATGGTGACGACTCAGCAGTGCAGGAAGGCTGCGCATGGACTCGTCGAAGCGTTGACGTGTCGTCAGCTGCTGCCAGTCGCACAGCAGCCGCGTTGCCACGTGCCACTGCCACCGATATGCGCTGCATTAAGTGTTCCATGTCTCGCCGATCGCCGGTTGTCTGAACGATCCGCTGACCGAGTTCTCTTAAGAAGTGAAGACTATCAGTGCCAAAAGCACCAGATGTCTCGACGGCGACTGTTTGGAACAGGTACCGCCGACTTAAGTCAGCGTAGCGTCGACGTTTGCGTCCTTCGGCAGCAGTGGCTGCGGCACTCGCGCGCGATGCGCATGCGGATACTGAGGAGGCACTGAAAGTGTCGACGCACGTTGCATCCCAAATGAGGCATTTCCCCTCTGAGTAAGGGAAGGTTGTGATGCCATCGGGACGGCGTCCGTCGCCGCGATCCAAGCCGGCAGGTTCTAGGACTGCTGGAAGGCCGGCGGCAGCGAGGCCACGTTTGATAATGTTATTGAGCTCTGCGTGGCGGGGTAGTCGACCGGCGCTTAACTGGCAGCTGAGACCGTACAGACCACGCTCATCAATGTCGGCCCCGCAGCGGCAGCGATGGGGAGCGCAGAGCTCAGCGCCAATCCGCAGAGCGATTGCTGTCCGCAAGGTGTCAGGCTCAATCAGGGTGCCTACACTTGGTGACGGGTAGGCGTTGAGCCAGGCGCCTGAGTGTGGCTGTCCGGCGGCTCGGAGCCTAGCTTGGCACACCTTATCGGTGCTGCTGTCTAGCAGGTGCGTGCTGATAGACTTGGCCTCTGAGCGGTCCCATTCGCGTTGAAGGTGCCGCTTTTCGTCGTCTGGCGGTGTTAGACCGGTGCGGTTTTGCCACTCACTGATCAGACGCCGTGTGGTCTCGTTGAAGTCAGCTGAGGTAGTTGCATTGATGGCTGCCACCATGGCCGCAGATGCGACATGCGATGCCAGGTGAGCGGGGAGGGCTAGATCGGAGGTCATCCTCACACCAAGCCCGCCAAGACTGACAGGCAGTGTGGCCTGTCGCCAGGCGTCGTCGCGCATCTGAACGTTGGTGATCGCCTCTAGACCCTTCCTCACGACCTCGTCGATCCCAGAAAGCAAGTCAATGTGTCTGTGGGCTAGGGAACTTCTCAAAAGGTAGAGTAGGCGAGGCATAGAGACATAGTTCTTAAGCAAGAAGAAGGATTGGTGGGGCTCTTCCATGCTTCTGAGACGCCGTACTAGTTTCTCAATCTCCTGCTTGCCGAGTAGGAGTCTGTGTCGTGTTTGAGAGTCATTCATTGGTGCGCCGAGCAGTTCCAGGTCATCCAGGCAGACTTCATGAGCGTCAGGGAGGATGCCGTGCAAATCATCCAAGATGTTCTGTTTTTGCTGGGCCCCTTGCTTTCCCAGGAAGGTGCATTCGCATTTCGCACCGTTGAAGCGCAGGCCAGCCTTCTCAAAGTTCTCTTTGACGCGCTCAATGCTGGCGAGCACTTTTGGCAGCGGACCAGCCAGAGTGCCGTCGTCCAAGTACCAGACGTTGATGTCTGCATCTGCTGCTTTGGTGGCGGTGTCTATGGCCAGCGAGAACAGCAAAGAGCTGAGAGGGTCTCCTTGCTGGATGCCTTGAAAAACTTATTTATTTTTTTTTTGCCCATGCGCTCTCAGATGACAGATCATCCCGGCACCCGACCTTGCATCGATGATCGAGCCCTATAGCCTTGATCGAGCCCAAGGCCGATCGAGCCAGCGCGTTGACAATTGACATGGTTCAATCGAAATCAAAATTACAATGAATAAAAATCGTTTGTTGTTTTGTTTCCCGTTCGATCAGCGTTATTCATATTGAAACCGATATGTAGTAAACCGGTATGATTATATCATGACTACCCCTTTGAGAATCGGGGTCTGCACTCTGCATGCTGCTTTAGCGCACCGATTTTGGCCGTTACGTCACGGCTGTACCAGATGAGCGATTTGTGAGCGATTCTTTTTCCAGTTTCAGTTGGCTTGAATCAACAGACTGTCCGATTCCTCTTGCTGGCGACGGTCCCTTCTCGAGCCGATGTCGGCGTCCGGAAGTCGCGAGCTCGCCGGACCCCGGCAGCCGGTGGTCGCCCTGCCGGACACCGTTCAGGAGGAGATCCGCAGCGGCGCCAACATCACCTCGGCTGCTCAGTGCGTCAAAGAGCTGGTGAGTAGTACTGGCCCCGACCCCCGAGGGGAGACAGCTGCTGTATGTTTGATGAATTGGCCGGATTTCCGATTTGTCTGAACATGATCTGATGCAGCGTGTACGCCTACCCCGCTCCGCCGTGCGGTGCCGTCTGTCAGGTGCGTAACGCGCTGGACGCCGGCGCCAGCTGCGTGGCCGTGCGCGTCAACCTGCCGCAGCTGGAGGTGCAGGTGGTCGACAACGGCACCGGCATGACGCCCCAGCTGATGGCACGCGTCGGTGACAGGTCAGTGCGCACGGGTTCCGCTCGGGAGGGGGGAGGGGCTAAAGTATGCTGTTTTGAACATCTCAATCTAATCGTCAACTTTGTTCTTCGATCCTCTCTGTTGAGCCACGTGATAAATGTGACCTAAAAGAAGGTACTGGTAGACTCGCAACAATATTTATCGGTAAACTTAATGAAACACGCCGCGGACGACCTATTGTCACCGTGGATCACGGATCGGTACCTGTATACTCTCAGCCGGCCCGGTTGCTCCCTGCAAACGACATCTCCCTCCGTGGGGGTGGCTCCGTTTCAGGTATGTGACGACCCACGGCGACACGCCAGGTCGATCCTCGGTCAAACCGTTCGGTTACCGCGGTGAGAGTCTGGCCAGCATCGCGCGCGTGTGTCGCCGCCTGGAGATCACGTCGCGCCGCCGGGGCTCGGAGCAGACCTGGCGCCGTCGCCTAGTGACGTCCTCCCGTTCGAGGAGGGGTGGACCGGTCAGCAGCGGCGGTGAAGGCCCGAGCAGCCCGGGTGACTCGGGGCGGGGTGAGGCGGCAGGTCGGCAGGGGACCGGCGCGGCGCCCAGCCCGGTGTCGCAGCAGCGGCCCAGCGCCGGCACCACGGTCACCGTGCGGGGTCTGCTGGCCGGCCGGCGCGCCTGCCGCCGACAGGCCGAGCTGGAGAGCGTCTGCCGCGTCCTGGAGACGCTGGCACTGCCGCGCCCGGACGTGTCGTTCAGCCTCCGCGACGACGCCACGGGGAGGCTGCTCATGGACGCTGCCAGGAGGAGTTCTGTGCTGGAGCGGTACAGCGACGTGATCGAGCCGCTGCCGGAGCGGCAGGCGCGGCCGCTGGCGGCGCGCCGCGGCAAGGTCCGGGTGTCGGGCTTCACCACTGCGCCGGGCGGCCCTCAGCTTGTGTTCGTCAACGGCCGCTCGGTGGGCCGCGGCAGAGTCCACCGGCTGGCGGCGCGGCTGCTGGCGGGCGCGCAGCCGGAGGCCGGCCGGCCGGGGTTCCTGCTGCTGCTGCGCTGTCCGGCCGACCGGTATTCGGTGGTGTACGACCCGGACGAGGACCGGGTCGAGTTCGCCCACTGGGAGCCCGTGCTGACCGCCGTGGAGCGCGCTGTGATGGCCGGAGTGGCCGACGGAGCGGCGCGGCTGCAGGGAGACGGTGCCGAGACGGGGAACGAGCCAGCCGGCACCGCCGCCGCTGCCGGCACCGCCGCCGTACCCGAGTGTAACTACTTGTTGGACAGGGCTGAGGCGCGGCGAGGCAAGAAGGTGGCTCGTCCCGGCAGACCGGAGCCTCCGCTGGACGTCTCCGTCCCTGAGTCAGAGACAGTGCCGGGCGGCAGTGTGTTGCACAAGACCAGCGACATGGAGCCGACGGAACATCCCTCGGGCGATCGAGAGAACGGTCGACCAAACCGTGCAGATACTGATAAAGAGCCTGGAGCTGGAGGGGACTGTGGTGGGCGCAAACACCTCGAGAAGACACGAAGCACGTCCCGTGGAACAGAGAGAAGTGTGGAATCAGTGAAAAGGAAACGCGATCGAAGCCTACGAGCAGACGCCCAGCAACCCTCTGTTGCTGGGCGGGATGAGCCGACAGTGTCTTGGAATCTGCGAGAGAAAACAACAAGGGGACGGAGGACATCTGCACTGAGTGGATCGGTGTGCGAGCGCGGGAGCACTAACAGAAAAACGTCGGGAAATAGAAAATGTTCAGAAGTCGAACAAGACAAGACAGTCTCTCCGCTTACCGAGAACCACAGTCATGCTAACGTGCACGCAACGTCCCCACAGCGGTCAAACGAGCTGACCGATGCCGGCCACCGCGAGCCCTCTGGAACTGTGACCAGGGTCTACCGCGGCAGCCTCGAGTTGTTTCGGCAAACTGTGCTGCAGGCCGAATCTGCCAAGGCTACTGACAGGGCTCCTATCCAGTCCACCGATGTGGCCCAAACTCCTATGGATGGCCGCCTTTCCCGTCCGCACTCTCCGCCCCCACTCAAACGACCACGTTTGTCCGACTCTGGGGCAGAGTGCGCTGGGGAGCCGACGGGTACCACCGTCCCTGGAAGAGGCAGACGACCTCTGGCAGAGCTGTTCGGAACTAGGAGAGCTGCCAACTCAAGAGCTTCTCCAACAGGAGTGAGATTGTGCGGAAGCATAACGGGAGAAGTGGATAGCAGAACACAATTGAAGAGTCACGTGACAGTCAAGGTTTCGCATCTTGCTCGTGTTGAGGCCGAGAAAGACGCTCACAATCCCGAACAGATCGCCGGCAATGCTAAACGCGGTGACAACGGTAATCAGGAAAATGAATTGAACAACGTCCAACGTGGCATGGTTCAGCGATTACCTGCCAGTGAAAACGAGTTTCGGCTGCCCTCGGTACAGTCGGGTGTCGCCGATCAGAGAGGATGCCCAGCGGCTCCGTCTCATCATTCCGTTTCAGAGAGCCGTTACGAAGCGGCGCGGTCCAGAAGGGACGTCCCTGTCATGGTCACGACAGACATGCCGGCCAGAGCAGCCAGCACTCCGTTACCACGTCGACAAACCTATGCGCCTATGAGATCTGTCATTGCTGCGGACAGTGGAAAATGCGCCACAAACATTCTGGCTTTTACTCCCGTTCATAGCGGAGGTGTAATCTTCCTTCCGAATGAGAGTAGTTTCAGTATTCATCCAGTCATCAGTGACGGCGAAGAAATTTGTAGGGCTGAAGACTTTTCCCTGGCGCCTGTAGCTCTGTACTCTTCCAAGTCCACTCAGCACGCCACTAGGAGAGAAGAGAGTTTCGTGCTGATGCCGTCCTTGGAGGAAAGCTTCACCCTTCGTCCGTACAGCGGACCGTCGCAGGCTGCTCGCGATAGTGTCGGCCACGCCGCTCCGACTGTCTGTCTTACGACCTCTCTGCCATCGGACTTTCCTGGTCTTCAGACGAACCATGACCCTGTGCTCACCTTTCCACGGCTGTTTTCCGAGCAGACGACCTCCGCCTTCGTTCGGTTCTCGTCCCTGGTGTCCGCTGGTATACTCGCTCCCAGCGAGGGGACAAACGTTCGCTTCATGGCTCCCCTGGACCAGGACCCAGGCGCTCAGTGCGACACGGTGTCTCTATGGACCGCAGGAAGTGCCCACCGTCCCACCTCTGCCCTCTGCAGCGGTGTCGGGCACCCACGTGACGACGACATGGAGGTACGCCTCTGCGCCGGGAGTGACGGACTTCGTCCTCAGGGAACCTCGCAGCAGATCGGAAGGCTGGCCATGATCGATGATGGATTCGGGATGACGCCTGCGCCTCCAGAGACCAGCTTCACTCTGCAGCCAGTGTTGTCTGTTTCGCCCGATGGCTCGCCAGCTCAGGGCGCCAGCGCCTCGGCAGCGACTGGTCATGTCGCCGAAGCCTCTGCTCTTTCTGTCAAAGCCGCTCAGATTGTCGAAGAAACATCTGACCACACCAGGCGCTCCACAAGAACTGCTGACAGTAAGGGCGGTGATGCGGTGCCTGCGGGGAGGTCGGGGGCTCCGCCTGCCGCCACTCAGCCGTTCGTGGTGTGGAGCAGCAATAGAGAGCGTGCAGTGATGGAGGAAGGTGGAGAAGTGAGTAAGGATGGTGTCTGTGACGGACAGGACGACATAGAGCAAAGTGGAGGGGAGAACAGTGAGACGTATGGTGCCCAGGGGCACAACAATGGTGAGAGATGTGATGCTGTAGACAGCGCTGATCCTGAGTCTGAGATGCGCTGTGTCCATGAGATGAGTGAGGAAGAGAGTTTTGAGACGTACAGTAGTGCTGAACAGGGCGTAAGTAATATGTCAGAATCGCAAGGGAACTCCAAAACAGAGGAAGACAGTATCATTTCAAATGAAGTGTTGCTCCGGGAAAGCTACGAAGAACACGAAGACAGCGATGAAGCTCACCAGCACACAGTGAATTCAAATCACCACGAAACAGAAAGCATGGATACCGACGACCATTCCCAACCACGGAGCAAGAGCCGGACTGAGACCTGCCCAGTCGCTGTCTCAGACTCCAGTACCTGCGTCACATCTGCCCAACCCTCACCAATGCCTGGCGGGAGGACGGCACAGGCCGTGGCTGGGCAGCCTCAGTGTGTCTCCTCGGGTCATGGGGCAGACTCCGCGGTCCACCGAACTGAAGGGTCTCCCTGTACGCCACTCGCCAGGGTAGATGTGGGCACTGTGCGAACAGTGCGACCGCGCCGGCGTGTGAGGCTGTCGCAAGGGCTGTACATCCGTGTAAGCCCCGATGGCACCAGGGAGTTGGCGGGAACGGTATATGAGGCGACTGCACCTACTGAGAAACGCTGGGCTGCTGAGGCCGTGATTCCAGTGGAGACAAACGAACATCCCACTGAACGGCATTCTTCCAGCGGCGTGGCTTCGTTTGAGTTTTCTTGCGCTTCTCAGGGCGGACAGTGTCAGGAGCTGTCTGCTATGGGAGAAATTCCTACACTCGCAGTCGCCAGTGACGCTGCTGTCCGAGATCACGCTCAACCATCTGCCATATCCGACTTCTCGGTGCCCAAAGAGGGCTCAGATTGCTCCAAAAGGGATGTTTCGATCGCAATCAATGGCGAATTGTCCGGGACCCCACGGCCTACCTGCCCTCGGGCAAATACCGACGGAGATCGGCCCGATCCGGCCGGCGACTCGGCTGGCTCGTCGTGCAGCGAAGTCCTTCCGAGTCAGGTTGCGGCTGACTCCGCCCTGTCGCCGCGTCCTTTGACGACTCCTGCCGTTGTCGGCGAGTCGGAGGGAGACCTTCCGGAGAGTCTGCGGAAGCTGGCTGACGGGACGCCGTGCGCCGGGACGCTGCCGGAGGCTGGGGTGATGTCTGTGGCGACGTTACCGGTCCACTCGACTCCTCTACAACACTCCGCGGCGCCCCTGCACGCCCCGCTGTCAGATGGGGAGGAATTGACGCCATTTTCCACCGCTCTCCTACCAGTGTCAGACGGTCCCGCGTCGCCGCCGGTCCCGGCGGCCGGGGAGGTTCGACCGGCTCCCTCGCCGGCCCGGCGTCCGACCGATCAGTCGGACTCCGAGGAGATCCTACCGGGACAGGTGCTGGATTCGACCGGCGCCGACGCGTCCCACCTCCCGTGGGCAGATGAGACGAACCGCTCCGACACCGACCGCCAGGACGATGGAGCGCAGGGCCCGAGTGGTGAGGAAGCTCCACCGGCGGGAGGAGCTGAGAGGCCCAATATGCCGCAGGTTCTGGTTAGTGTGACCGTCGATGAGAAGTGTTTTATCACACCCAGACGAGCTGTGGGGTCGGCTACGGGAGAAAACCAAAACGCTGCCGGTTGCGGCGCTAATTTTCAAGAATGTACACCGATGATTACGGGTTACATCCCTGACGACAGGACATTAAATTCTAAAGGTAGCAGCCCACTGACTGCAAGACGGCGCCTATTTTCCTACTTCGCCTCCGCAGCAGCAGCAGCTGAAGAGGCAGCGTCCGCGACAGCGGTCACTGCCACAAGCACTGTTGTGTCAGCGGTGACAGCGAGACCGGCTGCCAGCCCAGCCCGGCCCCAGGCGACCGACTCGGCCGGAAGCTCGGAGCTAATCAACTCGGTCACAGACCACACGGGTCTGGAGCCTCCGGCGGCCACTGGAGCCGCGGGGGACGGCGGAGCGGCCCGGCTGTCTGCGGTCAGCGGAGTCGCGGAGGTCGGGGGAGGCGCCGCCCGGCCGCGGCGGCCGCTGGTGTTCCTGCTGAACGACGCTCCGCCGTGGTATCCGTGGGCGGCCGGAGCCCAGCGGCCGCTGGTGCTCACTCACGGCTTCTCACCGTTCCTGCCGCGCGGGCGCCTCCGGCTGCCGCCCCCGCCCCCGCCCCCGCCCCCGGCCGCGGCCGCGGAGGTGGCGGCAGATCCCAGGGACGAGCGTCAGCCGCCGCCGAACGACCAGGCCGCGCGGACACTGGATGCACTAACCAGTGAGTCAGGGTGGCCCGCACAAGCAATGTAACTCAATTGTATTTAGAGCAAGTTTCGCTTTGCTTTATTCGCACAGCTGCCAATGCGTTGGCATTGGCAGTGATCGCCTCGCTATGCTAAGCACCTAGTTGGACGTTGATTGTGACAAACATGATTAACCCTGCAGTTGCTGGGGTATTTCGCCACCCACCGTTTGCTGGGGGGGGGGGGGCGTTAAACGCCCCCAGCCGATAACTCGAGAACCAATAGGCGCAGCGAAACGCACGAGGCGGCAAACGAAAGAGCGCGACAAGACGCTTCAGATGAATACATTCAAGTTGAATTTTGAGGTCACAGGTCGGGTCAAGGTCAGGTCAAACACCTGAGATCGGGCTTTCAGTAGCTTGGACTTCAGGACTTCGCAATGGGCGCCTCTCGTCATAAACTCTGTCACAACGGTGCACAACCCTTCATATAAGACCTACAAGAGTGTCAGTTCCATGTAGGGGTCAGTCAAGCATAGGTCAGGGTCAAGGTCAGGTCAACCAGGCAGGCACATAGGTATCCCCGAAAATCAAAACTGATATTCGCAGCCTGTGACACATGTTTTACGGGTAATTTTGGGCGTAGAACACGATGCTGACATTCATTTTATCATATGTGTGCGTGTTTGGTTCAAAAAGTTCAATTTAAGAAATGCATGTATCATGGTCGTGAAGTAGTCATGAGAAATTGCCAAGATTCAGTTCAAGATTTTGGAAAATGTGAAACGATAATCAATATAAATCGAAGATGGCCATTTCATTGTTCATGGTATCGGCAGTCTAATGGTGTTTACGGCATGTCTGTTTGTCTATTCTGTGATTTTATATGATTTTTTGAACATTTGCCGTTTTTGGTCGAAAACTCAGAAATCATGCCGTCACTAAAACCTCGATATCTCAAAAATTTTCGGACCGATTTTTTTTTAAACTTTGTCACAATGAACTTCAATCAATTCCCTACAGGTACTTATATTTTGGCGCGCCTGCGGCGCGCCGTTTTTATGCTATAGCCCGGCGAAAAAAGTGGGGGCGTTTCACGCCCCCCCCCCCCCAGCAACTCGCGGGTTAATAATATTCTGCTCACGCCTGAAAAGGGGCAGACTAAAAACTAATTCTAGGATATATTTTCAGTTCTTCAGTGGAATGATAAAAACACGAAAGGGTGGTGCATTTGGAATTCTGTTATGTAATTATTGCAAGCAAGTAGTAACATTAATAACGTTGTCATTCATACTCGTCACAACCATAATCGTAACAGTGCTCAAAATAACGTTTCAAGCCTTCAAAACTTCAGCTAGACGTTAGGTTACCGCAGGTTGTTTGAAATAGACAACACCAGAGCTGCGGAGTCGATTGATTTTAGTTTGGCTCCGACTCAGACTCAGACTCCGACTCCGGCTTCAAAAATCGGCTCCGAACCCTACTCCAACTCCGACTCCGACACCGGACGGTTCTATTAAAATACATATCACGATAATGAAGTTCGTAATGGATATGTCTTTATCTTGCCTGAAACGATCTCTTTTGCGTTCCAGGGCTTTGCGTAGCAAATGTGCATTAAAAATAGCATGCAGAATTAAAAAGCAGGTTCTGGGGAATTCATCGTCTTCTGCCTCTTTCGCTGAAAACGTTCGTCCTAAACAGCAAAATGACCTTTTTTCGACAAAATCTAATTTCGAGCGCAGTATCGTCAATTAAACAGGTGCAGTGCATGACGCTGAGCCATGCAGCGTTAACTCCGACTCCGGAGTCGGAGTCAGTAAGATTTCGGCGACTCCGACTCCGACTCCGGGCAGAGCTGTCGACTCCGACTAACTCCGACTCCGACTAACTCCGACTCCGACTCCTACTCCGCAGCCCTGGACAACGCTATTCGTTAGAATTGTGTTTTCTTTATTTCAAAACATCACCGTATGCGCTATAAGACGCTTTCGGCCCTTGCAACGATGCAGAGCATAAGGAGAGGTCCAATTCAAACGATATCGGCACTCCATTTGCCACTGTTCAAATCCCACCTGTTACCACTAGTGTGCCTCAGTCATTAGTAGGGTGTTTGCAGCTCTCTCAATAGATTTCGCCAGTAGTCGATACCTGAACGGTATGTTGTACCGGACAGCTGCGGAGCGTTCACAGTCCTCTCAACAGATGTCGCTAGTAGTTTGACGCCTGGAATGGTATGCTGTACCGGATAGCAGCTGAGTGTTCACAGTCCTCTCAACAGATGTCGCTAGTAGTTTGACGCCTGAACGATATGAGCCCTGGTCGGAATCGGCTGACAGAACTTTGTCAGCCGAGAATAAGCCCCGCCCACACCACGCTGCTGACGGGCTTGTTCATAATCGGCTGACAGGAAACGTCAGCCCAGATGGCGCTGAGACGCTAAGATGGCGCTCGACAGATAGGGTTGAGAGTTGAGACTTGAGGAGAGGTAGCATTTTCGCGCTTTTTTCAACGACTATCTTCCGTTAGTCGTTACATTATATTTCTGAGGTTTATTTGCCGAGGCTATAGAAAAAATTACAGGATTGATAATTGAGGCGGTGCTGGCATTTCGATTTGTAGGTACTGTTTTCAGGCTTACTCGCACATTACGCCATGAAAAAGAAATAATTGCTATCTTTCGCGAAAAATATTTAATACAAAATACGTCAAAAACATCGTATATAAAAACTAACCACCTGCACTATAAAGCTGCGCTTTGACTTACATGCGCCACTTTCGAGCCACTTTGAATTTCGGCTGACGTGCTGCTGCCTTCTCCCAGCAGCCGAAAAGCCGGCTGTCAGCAGAGGTATGACGTCACAGCGCGGGAAGGCGTGATACGTCATCAATATCTCAACCAATCAGGGGCTTGGATCTCAGCTGACAACAGCACAGCAGCCGATTCCGACCAGGCCTATGCTGTACCGGATGGCAGCGTAGCGTTCGCAGTCCTCTCAATAGATGTCGCTAGTAGTTTGACGCCTGGAATGGTATGCTGTACCGGATAGCAGCTGAGCGTTCGCAGTTCTCTCAACAGATGTCGCTGGTAGTTTGACGCCTGAGATGTATGCTGTAACGGATAGCAGCCGAGCTTTTGTAATCTTCTACACAGATGTCGCTAGTAGTTTGACGCCTGAGAGGTATGCTGTACCGGATAGCAGCCCAGTGATGCGTTCGGCAGAGATGAAAAAGCCGGCCCAATATAAACTAGAGCCAATCACATAGGAAGCCCTTTGTATGTTTCTTTTACCCTGTCCCTGTCCGACTCTCACTCCTTCCCTCCCTCTCCCCACGTTTCTCCTTTTCTCTCCCTCTGGCGGCGAGTTCGAGCGTCCGGTGATGTCGCTAAGGACGGGTCTGTCGGCCGCCTGGCGCCCGCTGGCCTGTGACGTCACTGCAAAGACGCTGCAGACGGTCCGCGTGAGTGGAGGAGGGGGGGGGGGGGACGGAGCGCGAGGGCGGGCGGGGGGTGGCGTGTGCTGTGCTGAGCCAATCACTACCGTGATGTCATTGCTGAACCTTGTACTTTTTGGGAAGGCTGTAAGTTGTAAGTTGTAAGCTGCTTGTTGATCCCGTGTCTAATCGCTTCGGCAGGTGCTTAAACAGCTGGAAAACAAGTTCATAGCAGCCTGCTCCGGGGACGTCGTCCTGCTGTTTGATCAGCACGCCGTCAGCGAGAGGATCAACCTGGAGAACATTCTCGAAGGTGGGTTGTACGCACTACGCAGTCATGCCCACCGCCCTCCCCCTGATCTCCAAAAGTGACCCATTTCCCGATCCCCTTTGAACGATCTATGCTAACATTATCAGTCATCACCGTTACGCCTGCCCAGTATCCACATACTGCCCACTATTCAGGTTCCTTCTCAGCGGGTGTGTTCGGTCTGTGTCGGCAGACGCCGGCGCCACGGGCGGCTCGGAACGGCTGCGGTCCACCGACCTCAGTCCGCCGCTGCCGCTGCGGTTGCCGCGCCGGCAGGCCAGGCTGCTCGCCGCACACCCGGCGGCGGTACAGAGGTCAGTCGTCAGGGGTCACTGCTGGTTCAGTGCAGGGGTCAGAGGTCAGGGGTCACTGCTGGGGTTAGAACAGAGGTCAGTCGCCAGGGGTCACCGCCGGTCCAGTGCAGGGGTCAGAGGTCAGGGGTCACCGCAGGCTCAGTGCAGGGGTCGGTGGTCATGGGTCACCGCAGGTTCAGTGCAGGGGTCAGTCGTCAGGGGTCACCGCAGGGTTCAGTGCAGGGGTCAGTCGCCAGGGGTCACTGCAGGGGCCAGTCGTCACCACAGGGGTCTCTGAACGGTCAGCGGTCAGGGGTCACTGCAGAGGCCAGTGGTCAGTACTCGTTGGTCACTGCAGAGGCCAGACGTGGTCCGGGTCACTGTATAAGTAGGATGCTGTACAAGTCAGCAGGGTGGTTGGGCTGTCTACCGCCGTGCCCGCTCAGTCCTGCCGGTCCAGCCGCCCGTCATCAGTGTCGCTCAGGGTACCCGCTGGCCAGTGTCGCGCCGGGGACCCAGACCCGGTACGGTCGTCAAGTTAGATGTAAGTGAATCCTAATCTATAATCTAAGATTCGGAATCAGGTGAGCCCCTACGATTTGGACCAAACTTGGTCAGTGGATAGTACGTAACGTCCTGATTACGATGCACCCAAAATCTAAGCTCGGCCCGCCATATTTACGAAGTTACGGATGTTTGAATTTCAAGGTCATTCGGGAGAGCCCCTACGATTTCCGTCAAAATTTGTGTACGGACACTCTAGATGCTCCTCATTACGAATATCACAAAATTTAAGCTCGGCCCGCCATATTTACGAACTTACAGAGGTTTGAATTTCAAGGTCATTTGGGTGAGCCCCTGCGATTTCCGTCAAAATTGGTATACGGACATATTACATCCTCCTCATTACAAATATCATAAAAGTTAAGCTCGGCCCGCCATATTTTTCAAGTTACGGAGTCACAAAGTTATGGAATTTCAAGGTCATTCGGAGAGCCCCTCCGATTTTCGTCAAAATTTGTATGCGGACACATTACATGCTCCTCATTACGAATATCGTAAAAGCTAAGCTCGGCCCGCACTATTTCAAAAGTTACTGACGTTTGAAACTCACTGAAATTCAAACATCTCTAACTTTTGAAATAGTGCGGGCCGAGCTTAGCTTTTACGATATTCGTAATGAGGAGCATGTAATGTGTCCGCATACAAATTTTGACGAAAATCGGAGGGGCTCTCCGAATGACCTTGAAATTCCGTAACTTTGTGACTCCGTAACTTGAAAAATATGGCGGGCCGAGCTTAACTTTTATGATATTTGTAATGAGGAGGATGTAATATGTCCGTATACCAATTTTGACGGAAATCGCAGGGGCTCACCCAAATGACCTTGAAATTCAAACCTCCGTAACTTCGTAAATATGGCGGGCCGAGCTTAAATTTTGTGATATTCGTAATGAGGAGCATCTAGAGTGTCCGTACACAAATTTTGACGGAAATCGTAGGGGCTCTCCCGAATGACCTTGAAATTCAAACATCCGTAACTTCGTAAATATGGCGGGCCGAGCTTAGATTTTGGGTGCATCGTAATCAGGACGTTACGTACTATCCACTGACCAAGTTTGGTCCAAATCGTAGGGGCTCACCTGATTCCGAATCTTAGATTATAGATTAGGATTCACTTACATCTAACTTGACGACCGTAGACCCGGTCACCTCCCGTCGCCCACGGCCCGGAACCCGCTCACACCGTCCCGTCTAGCCATACGTGTTCGGCGCGCTGCCATTCGCAGTTTGGCGCCGATGTTTTCCGGGACCGGGGATAAAATCACAATCACCTGCGAATTTATGGGACGGCCGTGTGCCATGTTCGCTTTGAGCAGTTCATTTCGCGTGTGCAAATCCCCTATATCGCAGCCTGTACCGATGTCCCCTGCCGTTTCTGTGTATTGACTGGGCGCGGCGACACTACATCGCCCTTTGGCGACTTTGGGTGCAGCCGGAACGAACGGTCGCCCCATGAACGTTCCGCCTTCATGACATTTGTGTCGGCCAACCAAATGTATACGGCTGATGGCAATGTCATTTCAATAAAAGAACGGCCGGCTTTGCAGCGGCTTTGTGGAAATTCTGGCCCGGCGTAAAGCGCGGCCCCGGACATGGGTAATGTAACTGCCGGCCGCTGGCGATATGGTGACTGGTAAATGTCGCTGCCGGCAGATTGGGCTTTGTGCTGGAGCAGCTTACCGAACTTAACGACTCTGAGGTAAGTTATTTCCGACAGCCAGCTCCTGCATATTGTTATTGGCTTCTGACGGCTATGTTTCCTTTGCAGAACAAGTTTCCAATAACGTTGTTAAAACATTCCAGTTCCCAAGCCTTCTGAATTTCTAACTTGTGCTTTATTCGTTTTATTATTTATTTAGCAGCGTTCTGTATCGAGTATCCAATAAAACTGAACAAGCAGTCGTCAATATCCTGCTGCAGTGCCCGGCTGTTTGACACTGAAATATGCAGGCGCCTCAGTCGGCGTCTGCAGCGCTGTTGAGCGTCGGTCCCTGTGTGCGCAGGTGGCGGGACCGTCGCGCCACGAGGCGGCGCTGCTGTCGCTCCGGGCCGCGCCCGCCTGTCTGTGTGAGCGGGCCGAGCGGGAGTGGACGGCGCAGCGGGCCGCCGCCGTGCTGGCCCAGCTGGCCGACCAGCTGACCGAGAGTCGCGGCGCGGCCGCCGCACTGCCCGCGGCGCTGGCCGACGTCTACCACTCGCTGGCCTGCCACTGTGAGTACCGAGTGCCCACAGAGAGTGCCGAGTACCCACAGAGAGGGCCGAGTAACCACGGAGAGTGCCGAGTACCCACAGAGAGTGCCGAGTACCCACAGAGAGTGCCGAGTACCCACAAAGAGTACCGAGTACCTACAGAGACTATCGAGTACCCACAGAGAGTGCCGAGTAACCACAGAATGCCGAGTACCTACAGAGAGTACCGAGTACCCACAGAGTGCCGAGTATCCACTGGAGTACAGGAGTACCCGCAGAGTCGCGGGGCGCCCTCCGCTTTGCCCTCGGCGCTGACAGACGTCTTTCCCTCGCATCATGAGTACTGGGAGGGCCGCGAGGCAGCCGCCGTCCTGCCCGTGGCCCTACCCCTGGAGTCGCGACGCATGGATCCCGAGAGCTGCATGACAGATTCCTATTTCGGTTTGGCTGCGTGTTGAGAAGGAATAGCGCATTTCTGTTCTCTGGTGCGGTTTCCTTGTCGATGAATGTTATTATGTTCCATTCACTTGAATTACGCCCGCTTTATCACTCAACAGAAGAGCGATGGCACCGAACATTGGCAGCTGGCACCTTCGAAAATTTACCCAGCTGCGCTCATGGACAAAGCGCACGAAATGACTGCCTCTCAACCGATAAATCAAGGCACCCGAAGCAGGCACCTGCTTCACTCTGGATTTGAGCAGCTCCCACGCTGATTGATTGTTTCAGCTGTCCTGATCCGCGCCGTTCGATCCACTCCGCCGATCCGCAGCGGCGCCCCGCTGAGTCGCTGGCCAGTACCAGTACAGCGGCCGGAGGGGCTCCAATCCCGTGTGGGCGTCTGTGAGCTGTACCGGGGTCTCCAGGCCGGCGGTGGCGAGGTCTGCCCAGTACGGCACGGTGGGGTTCGGGGGGAGGGTGAAGGGCGCGCTGCGATGGAGCTGGGCGGTCCCGGGTCCGCTCTGTACGGCGGGGTTTGGGAGGGAGGGTGTCGGGCGCGCTGCGGTGGAGCTGGTCGGGCCACTCAGTCGGACCGGACCGGCGGTTCCCAGGGTGGGTGGAGTGCGACTCTGTCCGCCACTGGGCGGTAGAGCGGCGAGACAGCGGCGAACAGCTGGTGGGCTGTGCGGGTATTGTATCTCTGACATGGAAACTGGGAGATTCTGAATCTCGTCGCAATATAAATGATGAAACAGGTTCAGAAATGCACGTCGCGAGAACAGTGCTGCAATGACAGCAACGTCACAGGCAAATGTTGAAACTTGAAAGGTCATTCATCATAGCTCAAATGTTTCAGTGTCAGCTTGTAAGAGCGAAAGGCTATGCATATGTGAAACCTGAAAAGGGCTCGGAAGACTGTAACTATGCCACTGAGGTTTGATGTTTACATACTATGCAAGTAGGTACTCTGTGTTGGGACATTGCCGGTCCCGTGGCGCTCCGTGACGCAGTCGGTAGAGCGTTGGACTCCGCGTGGTGAGAGCACGCGTTCCCCGTTATAACAGTCTGGGTTCGACGGGCGCTTGACGTTTATGGGCGCCCTGACAGGTATGGTTGCGGTTGGTGGCAGGTCGTAGCCCGACGAATTCAGTGAGGGCACCGGCCGTGCGCGGCTATGTGTGCACGCTAAACTTTGGACTCTAAATTCTGCCATAGACCCGTAATTGCGCGATCGGAGGGTAGAGGGCAAGTTCAACGCAACAAGCTTCGCTTAGCGGAGGCTCTGTCCTTTTAAATCCTTCCAATCAAAGGGTTCTGACTAAATTTATATAAAGGTATTTGTGGATGCATTTGTGGATGCAATTCTGCCGGACGCGTTAATTTTTCCGCTGCTCTAGTCATTGGGTAGCTTGGAGACCGCAGTCTGTCCAGTGTCCACTATCTAGTCCCGTATTTGATGCCGCTCGGTCACTGGCTAGCTCGGGTGTCTGTAACTCACCCGGGCCGGCCCAAGGTCTTTTCCGCCTCAGATTACATAACTGAGAGTCGGCAGAGCCATCTCCTCTGGGACCGGTGCTCCTCTGGCTAAGTGAGCCTTCGTGCGTCGTTCGTCAGTCGACGGGCGGCATATCCGGAGACGGTGCCGCGGCGGAGTCGTGAGTGCACCTCCGGGTCCGTGGGAGAGGGACTCTGCGCCGGCACCTGTCTCCGGCTGCGGGGCGGCGGGGCGTGCCTCGAGGGTACTCCTGCCGCGCCAACCGTCTGATGAGGCCCTCTAAGCGCCGGAGACGCCGCTCGGCCGGGCTGGAGACGGGTATCGCGGCTCTCGGGTGGCGGACACGCGGCGCTTATTAGCCGGTCAGATTAGACAGAGCGAGCGGAGACATAAATAAAACGGTCAAGGTGCTAAACACGGATCTGTCTGAGGAGTTGCTAGGATCTGCTCAAGATGTTAATACGGTCAGCTAGGACAGTATATTGTGGACCGTAGAGCGAGGACTAGATTGAAGAAGGAGCACGGTCCGGGGAGCCAGTAGATTGACGATGGCGAGCGAGGACGTTCAGTGAGGACGGCAGAGCGAGGCGTTCAGCGAGGATGGCAGAGTGAGGACGTTCAGTGAGGACGGCAGAGCGGGGACGTTCAACGAGGACGGCAGAGCGAGGACGTTCAGTGAGGACGGCAGAGCGAGGCGTTCAGCGAGGATGGCAGAGTGAGGACGTTCAGTGAGGACGGCAGAGCGGGGACGTTCAACGAGGACGGCAGAGCGAGGCGTTCAGCGGGGGCGTTCAGTGAGGACGGCAGCGCGAGAACTAGATGGTAGAAGGAGGACGGGCAGAGGAGCCAGCAGATTGAGGACGTTCCTCGAAGACATTCAGTGACGTTTAGGCGCTGGGTCGGACGGTACCAGGTGGACGCTGGTAATAACATTAGACCGGGCCATTAGCAGTTAGGTCCGGGCTGTGTGGCGCGAGCCTGGCGCTCTGCCGCCGCCTGGTGGTGCCAGCCGCGCCTCCAGAGGCCTGGCGAGCTCGGCGGACCGGCACAGGACCCCTGGCAGTCCATCACATTGCCTTGTGGTGGCTGAAGAAAGCGTAGCATGTAATCTGTATGTATTTCAGTACTGTTCTGGGGTACAGACAAACATTCATAATTGTTTACTCGTATGTTTTTTTCTCGATTGAATGTTGTCATTCAGACAGGACCTCGGTAGCAGTTTTACTATTTCGCCCACATTCTGACATTTCCTAGTCAAGCCATTTTGAGACCTTCCATATGTTTTGTTTAGTTAACAGTTTACAGAATTAGCTCTTATACTCTCAACTAAGCCGTGATGCATGTATTTTTGTTTATGATTCTTTTGTTTTACCCCTCAACGATGTCGAGCATCGTATCTTGTCTGTTTTATCACACCGCCTATTTCAACCATAACTTTGTTTTGCTCTAATCGGTCAATCGCCCCGACTGCTGTTACTGTTATGACACTATCAAGTATCAACGGAACCTCTGTCTATGTTACAGCGGCTGTGCCGTTCCCTGTCTCTTCCCTGACCGCCTGGTCCCTGTCCCTGTCTATATATGTCACAGCGGCGGTGCGGTTCGGGGACCCGCTGCCCCTGACTGTCCCTGACCGCCTGGTCCCTGTCCCTGTCTATATATGTCACAGCGGCGGTACGGTTCGGGGACCCGCTGCCCCTGTCTGTCTGTGAGCGTCTGGTGACCCAGCTGAGTGGGTGTCGCCGGCCGCTGGTGTGTGCCCACGGCCGGCCGTCCGTGGTGCCTCTGGTCGTCTGCTCCCGACTGCCGGCCGGCCCTCAGGTCAGTACTCAGTAACTGCCGGCCGGCCCTCAGGTCAGTCCGCAGATACTGCCGGTCGGCCCCTCAGGTCAGTGCTCAGATAGGTACTGCCGGCTGCCGGCCGGCCCTCAGGTCAGTCCGCAGATAGGTACTGCCGGCTGCCGGCCGGCCCTCAGGTTAGTGCTCAGATAGGTACTGCCGGCTGCCGGCCGGCCCTCAGGTCAGTGCTCAGATACTGCCGGCCGTCCCCCCCCCCCGCTCAGTCCGTCCCTCAGGTCAGTGCTCAGATACTGCCGGCCGTCCCCCCCCCCCCCCCGCTCAGTCCGTCCCTCAGGTCAGTGCTCAGATAGGTACTGCCGGCTGCCGGCCGGCCCTCAGGTCAGTCCTCAGATACTGCCGGGCGCCGGCTGCCCCTCAGTTCAGTCCTCAGATACTGCCGGCCGGCCCCCCAGGTCAGTCCTCAGATACTGCCGGCTACCCCTCGGGTCAGTCCGCCCCTCAGGTGTCAGTCTGCAGATACTGCCAGGCCGGCTATATCTCAGGGCAGTCCGCCGACACACCGGAACGTGTGGTGGTGGAGAGAGGGTCCCTCGACTGCCCGTCTCTCCGTTCCTCGGGTCGGCAGCTCGGAACAAAATGACGCCGAGCTGACTGTGAAATAGGACACGGGGCGAGAGCCCTGGATGATGTTGAATTGTGGCGAGGTTCTGTTATGGCGTTTGTCTAAGATCCCTCCTCCGGTTACATATCCTGCTCCTGCACCATGAGTCCTGTTGGTATTAGTGCTGCCTGTGACGTGCGGCGGTTCCTGGCCTATCCTGTTCCCGCACCAGTCCTGTTGGTATTTGCTGCCTGTGACGTGCGGCGGTTCCTGGCCTCTCCTGTTCCTGCACCAGTCCTGTGGCTGGTGCTACCTGTGACGTGTGGTGGTCTCTCGCCTGCAGGAGCCAAGACCTCGCCTGGAGCGGCTGAGGAGGCTGCTCAAAAATCAGTGCAAAACGGCAAATTGAGCGGTCCAAAACGGCAGTGTGCGCGGTCCATGGTGGCACCGAGCTGCCCTTGGAAGCGGTGCGGATCAGCGGCTTAGCAGCTGAGTGGTAAGTGCCTCACTCCGCCCAGAAGTGAAGCCTGCCTGAGTTGTGCACCGTGGTACCTGAGGGGACAATGTCCCGTTGCAGCGATGTCCCTGGTTGTGCCGTGTTTATTCGCTATAATAGAGACGCTGTTCCCTTTGTTTCTGTGTGGCCGGGATCAAGTCAGGTCAATTGGCTCGCCTTTGTGTCAAGTACGTTGGTACGTTGGTACGTACGTGCCGATACGTACGTTGGTACGTTGGTACGTACGTGCCGATACTTTGTTACGTTGGTACATGCCGATACTTTGTTACGTTGGTACGTGCCGATACGTTGTTACGTTGGTACGTATCAAGTTGTTTCGCTATCTGGTCCATGAAACCTAGTCAGTATTACGTTATTTAACTGCGTTTGTTACTGTTCTGTCATGTGTTATGGTTGATATCATATGGTAACTCACCTACCAAAAGATATGCGATAATCATGTTATTGCCTCCACCTATTGCAGAGAATACATTGACATTGTATCAAAAGTTGTAATCCTTCCATTTTCTGAATTTTAAGCGAAGACTTTAACTGTGGTTTATAGTCTTGCTGATAGGGAATTAGTAGCTCATGCAAGCTAGTCGCTGCGATCAACTGTTCTGATGAGGCCGGCCTAGGGCGGGCGCTGGATCTGAAGGTCCAATTTAGGAGATCTCCGCTGTCCGACTATAATGCTAATGAAGTCGAACTGGCGCGGAACGACCGAGTGGTCCCCGTGTAATGCAAGCGGCGTCTGAACTCACAGACCACTCGAGGCGCGCAGCACCGTGAAAATAAAACGCTCCCCAGCCACCCGTCACATTGCTTACTTCTGCCCCCGCTTGTCGGCCACCCGCGCAGTAAAACGCACAAAAGGGTCTCACTCCTCAGACAGTTGGCTAGGACGGGCAGTGCAGTTGTGGAGCGGAAATAATGCCGAGGAGCCGGATATGACAGAGCGGCTTCACGGACGTATAAGAGATAGAAGAGGCCGTGCAGCGTAGAGGACACACTAGAGCCCTGCTGCCAGCGGTCGCCGCTCCACACGCGAGCGTAGCGGCGGAACGGCAGCGAAATGAGTTGTCTTTTTGTACAGTCGTGTCGGAGTGACCGGCAATGTAATGTGCCGGTACGGCGTGCGCTATACAGGCTTTGTGTAAATATAATTCAAGATAAAGGAACTGAGCCCGTCTTGAGGATGAAAACGGTCGTGTCAAGGCTAATACGCCCCAGTGTTCTTACATAAGCTGCAGACTTCCTTTTAAACCGTCTACTGATTTCGTATTTATTGAAATATCTCGACCTGTGCGACTCGCAGTTGGTCTCAGGCTGTCGGCTGTCCGGCTGATTTCACTTCCCAGTCCCCGGCCTGACACTTCCCACCAGTCCCCCGCCAGTCCCCCGGTTCCACCAGTTCCCCGGCCTGTCCACTTCCCAGTCCCTGGTTCCACCAGTTCCCCGGCCTGTCCACTCCCCCACCAGTCCCCCGGTTCCACTAGTCTCAGGCCTGTCCACTCCCCCACCAGTCCCCCGGTTCCACCAGTTCCCGGCCTGTCCACTCCCCCACCAGTTCCCGGCCTGTCCACTCCCCCGCCAGTTCCTGGCCTGTCCACTCCCCCACCAGTCCCCCGGTTCCACCAGTTCCCGGCCTGTCCACTCCCCCACCAGTTCCCGGCCTGTCCACTCCCCCGCCAGTCCCCCGGTTCCACTAGTCCCCGGCCTGTCCACTATCCCACCAGTCCCCCGGTTCCACCAGTTCCCGGCCTGTCCACTCCCCCACCAGTCCCCCGGTTCCACCAGTCCCCGGCCTGACACTTCCCCACCAGTCCCGGCCTGTCCACTCCCCCACCAGTCCCCGGCCTGTCCACTCCCCCACCAGTCCCCGGCCTGTCCACTCCCCCACCAGTCCCCGGCCTGTCCATTCCCCCACCAGTCCGCGGCCTGTCCACTCCCCCACCAGTCCCCCGGTTCCACCAGTTCCCGTCCTGTCCACTCCCCCACCAGTTCCCGGCCTTTCCACTCCCCCGCCAGTTCCCGGCCTGTCCACTTCCCCACCAGTCCCCCGGCCTGTCCACTCCCCCGCCAGTCCCCCGGCCTGTCCACTCCCCCGCCAGTCCCCCGGTTCCACTAGTCCCCGGCCTGTCCACTATCCCACCAGTCCCCCGGTTCCACCAGTTCCCGGCCTGTCCACTCCCCCACCAGTTCCCGGCCTGTCCACTCCCCCACCAGTCCCCCGGTTCCACCAGTCCCCGGCCTGACACTTCCCCACCAGTCCCGGCCTGTCCACTCCCCCACCAGTCCCCGGCCTGTCCACTCCCCCACCAGTCCCCGGCCTGTCCACTCCCTCACCAGTCCGCGGCCTGTCCACTCCCCCACCAGTCCCCCGGTTCCACCAGTTCCCGTCCTGTCCACTCCCCCACCAGTCCCCTGTTACGCCGCCTCCCCGCGCGCTCTCCGCTGACGGCGCTCGGCCGGTGCGTGAGACGCTTATTGTTTCCGAACGCCCCGCACGCGAGGAGAGAGCCTTTTCGACGGCCGCCGGCAGTCGGCCGGCTCGGCTGGGGCGCCAGGAGGGTATCTGGAAGGACGGTGGACCTCTGCATACTCTCCAATTATCGCGAGTGAGGCGGTCCTTGGATGGGGACTCGGTCCACGCTGCCCGCTGAGGCAGAGCCTACCAGTGAATCGAGTTTAGGGAGACTTGAATTCGGTGAGACGGACGGCGATTTTAGTCTGTCAGCGCTTGTTGGTAGGAGATGGAGAGTCAAGGGCGATTTTTTATTCTGAGATGGCAGCCTATTGCTGGGTTCCTGGTATTTTAGCTGAATGTGAGGGCCTGCCACTGTGCAGCGTTCTGAGTTGCATATGAATTGCTTCGAGACTCGCAGCTTAACAAGAAAACTGCTTATTGTGTTAGTGGGTCATTTTACGTGTTTCTTCAGCATGGTTTTTGACTTGCGTATCTTCGCCGGAGCAGTTTGTGTGTTTGGTGACACATTTTTCGGTGTTTTATATTCCTTCACAGTCGACCCTATGAGATTCGCAGAGGCCATTGTACCAAAGAAGCCCATATTAATCCCAATATGTATTGGTTCAAAAACAAGATTCGATCATATTTCACAACAAATGAATGGCAAATCGAAAGTGATTTGTAACAATGATAAGACGAAGTATTGGTATGTACACGTCACGTCGCGTCACGCGCTCGCCGCGCTCGTCACGTCTGGCGGCCCGGCCGGTCTCGGCCAGAGCCCGTGAAAAACGTCCATGCACGCGCCGCTCGTATTTTGATTGTGTCGTGTGGGCCGGTCCGGCGGTCGCCGCTCTGTGGGCCGGTCCGCGGTCGGCCGCCGCTCTGTGGGCCGGCCGGCGGCTGCCGCTCTGTGGGCCGGCCGGCGGCCGCCGCTGGGGGCCGGTCCGCGGTCGGCCGCCGCTCTGTGGGCTGGCCGCGTCGGCCTCTGGGGGCCGGTCCGCGGCCGCCGCTGTTGACTCAGTCACTGTCGATGAGGGCCGCAGAGCAGCAGCGAAGACAGTCCTGCGCCGGTGGGTCCTCGGCAGTCCGCCCGCCGCCGCTCCCCATCGGCTCCTCTCCGCTCTCAGTCACATTCAGGGTTCACGTTCGGCACCGCCTGAGATGCCGCGCATTCGTCGGTGATACCACTGAATACTCGTAAATTTGTATCGATCTCAGCTTTGGCGCCTTGAGCCTTCCGACCCAGCCCGCATTTATCCCATCATCCCGTATTTGTCCCTGCCACTCACAGTGGGCTGCGTGTCACCAGTTTCCAGTTGACACCTGTTGGGATCGGTGTCACTAATTGACACCGCTTCTGAGCAGCGTCACCATTTACCTCGGATGACAACCATTGGAGCAATGTCACCAGTTACCTACCCCGGATGACACCCGTTCGGGCCGTGTCGCGCAACACGTGCCGTGTCACCGGCGGCCATCGACCGGACCTCATTATCGGCGCCGCGGCGCGCCGCTGAGCCCCGCTCGGCGGCCCGTTGCGTGTGTGCGGAAGGTATTAGCCACCGCAGTGACACCGGGCGGCGTCTGCCGGCGCCGCCGCGGCCCTCGCGTGCCGCCGGCAGCGCCGATCGGCCGCCGGCCGGCGCGGAAAGGTCACCGCCGGCGCACAGCGCGCTGCACGAGCCGCCCGGCGCGTGGGTGCCGCAGTGGGAGGTGGGGCAGAGTGGGGAGCCGGCGCTCGGCCCCTCTGCCCGGTGACGGTGTCAGTACAGAGAGGGGTGGGGGACCCATCCATCGCCGGGTCCCTGGGGTCTGTACCGGTCGGTACACCGGGTCAGGTACGGACACCGACGCCACCGACCGCCGGCTATCGCGTGGGACAGAGCGCACGGACTGGGGTAGAGAGCAGGTACAGAGAGCAGGGGCAGGGATAGAGAGCAGGTACAGAGAGCAGGGCAGGACAGAGATGTGTCCCCAGTGGATGGGTGCGTGGTCCTTCTGCAGGGAGGGGTACTGCGCCGTGTGATAAACATGCAGGTGATGGGTTCGGAAGTACGGCCCTCCAGCAAAAGAGTGGTTGGTTAGCCTATGTGCTTTTGGTGTAATAACTTCAAATGACAAAGACACTCCTGTAAAATAACTCAATAGAAATTAGAGGAGGGTTCGTGCTAGTAGTGTCAGTTTCAGAAAATGTATGTCCAATGTCCGTCCAATTTCCAATGCTTACGTCGATTGTCCGTCCAAAAATGTCCAAGCCAGCCATTTGTCCAAAGATTTCCGAAACCTACGCAATAGTTTACACTCAACACTGTTATTTAATTTGTTTTAAATGTACTATTACCAGCTTTAATGTGTTCATCATATCAAAAGCTGAGCTTTCTAGGTATTCGCCAATCAGTGTTAAACACGATTGCTTTATAAAAATGCTGAGCTGTAGCAAGTGATTGTCCAAATTTGTCCAACGCCTGCCGTCATTGTCCAACCGAATTCCGAATTGGACATTGGACAAAATCGGAATTCCGAAGATTCAAGTTCCGATTGACACCACTAGTTCGTGCACACATTTCGGCAGTGGTTTTTAACAGCCATTAGACGTATTCATCAATGCAGATCGATTATTGTGATGTTGGCACCCAACCACTTTATACCTGGAGGGCCGTACAGGATGCTGAGGCAAACCATGAACTACGCTGTCCAGTCAACGTCTTTTCTTCGAGTCGCGTCCCTCACTCGTCAGTTATCGGTCGCTAGGCTTCTGCTATATGGCTGCGGCCTGCGATATCAGATATGTACTGCCTTGCCCTGTCTGTCTGTCTGTATGATTGTCTGTCTGTCTGTCTCTGTCTCTGTCTTTGTCGTCCCTCCCTCCCTCCCCGTTTCTCCCGATTCTGGTCCGCCCTCTGTCTCCACAATGCCCAGCCCATTCGTCGTCTGCCACCCACCCGGCTGCCTTCAATCGGTCGTCTTCAAAACGTCGTTGTGGTGCAGTCATCAGTCGTGTGTCGAACGTAATCAGCGGGCCATCCACAGCGCTACAAATCACTGCCGTGCCAGTCGCCGTGCCATCAGCCCCCCCCCCCCCTGCGCCGCAGTCAGCTGACGGCTGCCCCCCAGCGCCGCGGTCCGGCCTCGTTGGGACGCGCCGCACGTCGGCACCCCACGCGACGGCGACGGCGGACGGTCAGTCTATTCAGCCACCGTCCATGACGACGGCTGGCGACGAGAGCCGAGCCGGGCCGCGCCTCTGACCGGGTCAAGGTCAGACGCCGCGGCGGCGGGTAGGGGGTGTCGGGGGCGGCTTTGGAGGGGTCGTTGGGGAATGGGGAGGGTAGACAGTGGCAGCGTCTTGGCTAGAAGCAAAGGCGGGGACGGTATAGTGTTGCGGTTGAGGGGGTGGCTAGGAAAAAGCCTGGTGTGCCTTTGGGAGACAAAGGTGTAGATACAGGGATTGGCAGTAATCCCCGGATAGAGGGACGTGACAGAAGGAGTTAGCTTCCATGCAGTACGGAGGGAAGAAAGGAACAGGGAGACTTCGACCCCCGGCGACAGGCCGAGCGGGTGATTCTGTGTTCGGTGTCACAGACGATCCAGTGACCAGTCTCTCGTCAGGGGAGGTCACTCGAGCCGCCGGGCATCACACCAGCTGTTGGCGCTGGTAAATCTGTTCTCAAACACCCTGTCCACAGCGAGACGACCGGACGAGCTCCTCGGCTCCCTCGAGATAACAAACCAAGCGGCGAATCCGCCAACTTGGCCAACTCGTGGCGACATTAACGACAGATTCCGCTGCCATTCGGCCGCTGGGAAGATGTTTCGGCCATTTGTTGTCGGCTGCGGCGCCGCGGCCTCGGCAGCGACTTTACTGCCCCTGGGAGGCCGGCGCGGCCGTTTGGCGGCCACAGAGCGGCCGATTTGTGTCCGATCGAGGCCAGCCCGAGACGCCGAGAGAGGTGCCCGGACCGGCGCTATTGTAAGCTCATACGAGCGCTGTAAGCTCGTGCCGTGGTTGGTGCCGGCGGACAGCGGCACGGCCGTTGCTTTGTTGGTAAAATGGAGCGCCGCTCCGCCCGTGAGCTGGCTGGGTCGCGCTCAGCTGAGTTGGACTGGGCTGCGCTCAGCTGAGTTGGACTGGGCCGCGCTCAGCTCGGCTGCATTGAGTCGGGTCGCCTCGTCCCGAGCAGGACTGGTCTGAATGAAGATGTCAGTTTCGGTGGAGCATGGCCCGCAGAAGCTGGCCGTTGATTTAACGAGCAACGCTTTGTGCGATACGGTGGTCCGTGGTTCCCCGATGTGAGTGTGAATGGAATGAACAGTATGTGATGCAAACAGCACTGAGCCTTCTTGCGACAACTGATTGCACTCCTGCCAGCCACTACTCTCAGGCGATGGTGGCTGGCTGCGCATTGACTGTGAGGTGAGAGCGAGTGTTTCTTTTGGGACGGTTTGTGGCAGCAACAATGGAGTGCATCCCTCACAAAACTATTATCCTGAGTCGTCAGACATACCGTTCCAGTATCTGCTGTGCGCTTCGCCAGAGCTGCCGGCCCACCGTCCTGGCTAGGACCGTCTCTACTGGCCGCGGTCTGCCTTCCTGAGAGGTTCAGAGCACCACCTGTTCACACCTCACCACTCACCACTCAGCGCCAACCCCACCACTCCCCGTCACCTCAACGGGCCCGACCCTCCTCCGCGATCCGCCGCTGTCCCCTCGTATGGCCGACTCCTGGTTTTTGTTGTCCTTGCCGGTTTACTCCGCTCATATGGCGGACTCCTGGTTTTTCTCGTTGTCCTCGCTGTTACTGCCGGCCGAGCTGCCGCCGCAGATCTGCATCTCGATCTCTGCCAGCCGGTGTTCCACCTCCCATTGCTGGGCGCTCAGCTTCATGCTCATCGAGTGGTTCTCGCCCTCGAGCTCTGTGAGTCGCTCTCGCAGTCGGCGTATCTCTGCGAGCAGCAGGTCCTGCGGCGCGTCCCGCGACAGCAGGCTCGGACTGCAGGGACGACTGCTGCCGCCGGCCCGGTGGAACGACGGGCTGACACTCAGCGGCGGCGCGCCTGAAACACACGGCACGGGTCACTGGGAGACACTGAGTCTGAAACACACGGCACGGGTCACTGGGAGACATTGGAACACGGGTCACTGGGAGAACCCGAGACACACAGCACAGGAGACCCCGGGACACACGGCACGGGTCACTGGGAGACCCCCGGAGCACAGGTCACGGGTCACTGGGAGCCGGAGACAATGGAACACACGGCACGGGTCACTGGGAGACCCCGGATCACAGGTCACTGGTCACTGGGACTTGGGAGAACCCGGAACACACAGCACAGGAGACCCTGGAACACACGGCACGGGTCACTGGGAGAACCCGAGACACACAGCACAGGAGACCCCGGGACACACGGCACGGGGCACTGGGAGACCCCCGGAGCACAGGTCACGGGTCACTGGGAGCCGGAGACACTGGAACGCACGGCACGGGTCACTGGGAGACCCCCGGAGCACACGACACGGGTCACTGGGAGACCCCCGGAGCACACGACACGGGTCACTGGGAGACAGACTCCGAAACGCACGGTACAGGTCACAAACCCAGCCACTGCGCTGGTGACCACGGCTGACCCGGCCCTTTTGTATGTGTCAAGGTATGTATATTCCTCTTCCAATACCATAAACTTATACAAATGATATTTTTCTTGCTATCAATCACGAATATTTAATCGTTAACGCAGTAACGTCAAATTGGTAGTTAAATATTCATGAATCATGGGCGTTTAAAGGTCACACGAAAAGTGAGTGCAATCGATAAATTATTTCAGTTATGAAATGTCCATCACCAATGGTTTATGATCACGGCAAGACGAGCTGTATGTCATTCCCGTCCCGGCGGCGGTGGAGGTCGGACGCTCCGAGCGCGAGGGTCGCCGGCCGTGCCCTGAGGGACAGGTACCGGGCCGGTAGGGTCGCCTAGCCGCGCCAGTTACCGGCCGGCCGCTGGAATAGCCTTGTGGAACGCTTGTGTTTGTGTACGCCAGTACCCGTTCGCGGTGGACACAGTGATATTTTCGGCTCGTCTCGGTGTCGATGCGTGAAATGACCACGGACACTGGTGGATCGGAGCTGGACTCCGTGTTCGGTGACGCCGAGGACACTGATCGCTCCGTTCTGATAGGGAGAGGTGGCCGAAAACGTCAGTGTTCTTTCCCAGAGATGATGCAGGCTCTGGATGACGGACACGGACAAAGACGTCAAAAAAAGAGCAAGCGTTCCAGCAGAGAAAAAGACAGCGCAGAAAAAGGTGAGCACTCATGCCGTCTGGACGGCGAGTCCTTAGATGCCGTGAAATCAATTATAGATAAAGGCATCGAAAAGGTGACGAAGCTCATGGAGGAAAAGTTTAGAAGTATGGAGAGACGTATTGAAATCATGGAAGGTGAACTGTTCTTGAAAGATGCCGAAACAAACGTACTGAAGGACAGAGTTAGCTCTCAAGAAGCTACCATTAAGGCTCTACAGGAGCAGCTAGAAGGCATAGATACCAACAGACGAATGAACAGCCTGATACTCAAGAGCGAGGAATTTGGAAAAAGGGAGCGCGATGAAGATATCGAAGGAAAGGTGATATCTGTCCTCAATCGACGCCTCCCTGAGGTACATGTCACCGGCAGCGACATCCAGACCGCTCACAGACTCCAGGGTGACAGCACAGTCATTGTAAAGTTTTTCAAGACCAAGGTTAAGGACGACATTTACGAGAGAAGGATGAAGCAAGCCAGAGTACAAAACCATGGAGATCGACCGGCGGCACCTCTCTATATCAATGAGTCGTTATCAGCTATGAACAAGGAGATCTTCAACGCTCTGCTCGAAGCAAAAAAGCGTAAAAAAATCTACACCGTGTACTCGAGGAGAGGTGCGGTCTTCTGCAAGTTGGACAGCGAGTCTCGAGGTCAGAAGATGGTCAGCATGGACCAGGTGACGTCACTCCTCGGCGGGGCCGCCCGTCCCGACGGCCGGCGTCCGGCGGCGGCTGGCGGGGCCGATGTCGATCGCTCCGGTGCCGCTGCTGCTGCTGATGTTCGTGCCGTCCGCGACGCAAACGACGACGGCGGCGGCGGAGCGCGCGGGGGCGCCCTGGACGCGCGGCTGGCGCCGGCGGCGTGGCGGTCTGGCCGAGCTGACGGCGGCTCCGGTCGGTCGGCTGCCGAGCCCGGCTCGGGCGGCGCGGCCGCGGACGGGCGACGGTGATCTGTCGCGACGGCTCGTCTCCGGTACAGCCTGGCGCGACGTCTGTACCTGGACTAATGCAGGTGACCACGGTTTCGTCGGCAATTACCTGTACAGGTAACAGTACCGCGGGTTGCAGGGGAGGGGTGTGTCGGTGTGTGTATTGCTGGGGGTACTGTTATCTCTTGAATTTCCTTGGAATGCAGGCTACATCGCGATGATCGTTCTGACAAGGGTCGCAGTGCTTTACATTGTATGAAAGTTACGGAAACGTTACATAAAATTATGGCGATGTGCTTTACATTTTGCGTTTCTTTTTCGTAAAGTGAGATGTAACGTTAGCTTGCCTACGTTTAAATAATGCGTATGCTGATTTTTTTGTTTTTTTTTTCGCGCGAAATAAAAACGCCATCTGGCGGCCGGCCGGCGCGGCGGTGCGGCTGCGGGCGATCGGTGCCGGCTCGTTGGCACAGCGTGCGCACGCTGCGTCCAGTGGGAGGGGGGATGGGAGGGTTCTGCGGGAGCATTACGGGTCAAAACTCAAAATATTATCGAAACAGTATTACATTGCACTCCATCTATAAATTTCACAGATGGAGCGACGATGCGCATGCAGACCGTGGAATGCTAAATTTAGGAAATGTTTGTGTCTCCTAAGCTTAAAATAGCGTCACTCAACGTAAACGGGCTACGAGGCTGCGCTCAACGAAAAATGCCAAAAAGGCGTAAAATATTTACCTGGTTTAAACAGAAAGCAATAGATATTATTCTTCTTCAAGAAACGCATTCATCAGAATCAGACGCCCAGATGTGGTTAAATCAATGGGGAGGCAGTGGATATTTCGCTCATGGAGAGAAAAACAGCAGAGGCGTGGGAATACTAGCACGACCAAACTCTGGCATCGTTTTTAGCAATGTTTTTAGTGACGATAATGGTCGCTACATTATCCTCAACGCCGAATTCAATGGTGCTAGGATGACGATAGGGAACGTTTATGCGCCAAATCACGATAACCCAAGCATGCTAGAAGATTTTTGCGCAAAACTAAATGATTACGACGATAGCACGATTGTTGTAGGAGGTGACTTTAATTTCTGCTTCGACTTGGGAAAAGATAGACGAAGTTCAGCAAGGATTGTAGCAAATAATAATAGAAACAAAGAAGTCATCCTAAGCCTGATGTCTGAAAAGAACTTAATCGATATTTGGCGTGAAATCAATCCAGTAAAGGAGGAGTACACCTTTATCCGAAATAACCCGACTAGTAGATCACGCATAGATTTTTTCCTCGTGAGCGAAACTTTAATGTACAGTGAAAAGAGGCCAAGCGCAAAGATTGTAGACGGATACCTAACAGATCACAAGTTAATTACTTTGTCGATAAATATTTCCAATGTTGACATAGGAAAAGGATATTGGAAATTTAATAATGATCTTTTGAAAGACGATCAATTTGTATCATTGATCCAAAACAGAATACCTGAAGTAATTAGTTCAAACGAACAAAGTGCCTCCTCCAATACAATATTGCTGGAGACGACGCTTTGTGTTGTAAGGGGAGAAATCATAAAGTACGTTGCAACCAAGAAACGTATTTGTTTGAACGAACTCAAAGAAATCGAAATGAAAATAAATGAAAAGCAAGGTGATAATGCGTTGAATGGCGAGTGTGACGAACTGCGAAGGAAGAGAGATGAAATTATTTCTGATCAAACAGAAAAAGGAATATTTTGGAATAAAGTGCGCTGGAGGGCATTCGCAGAGAAGGGTTCAAAATATTTCCACGGCATAACTAAGCGAAATTTCCCCAAAAACATTACGAGAGAAATGTATATAAATGAGGGCAACCAGAGTACCATTACTAACAAAACCGAGGAAATGTTGGAGGAAGGAAAAAGGTACTTCGAAACGCTATTTGAACGCCGTATTAGGAATGAGTCACGAATTGACTTTACAGAAGGGTTAAGTCAAGTAACACAACATGATAGACAAACATGCGATGCAGACATTACGATGGAAGAGCTGACCCGAACAGTTTTTTCATTAAAAAATAATACCTCTCCTGGGCCATCAGGATACACTGGAGAATTTTACAAAGTATTTTGGTCAGAGCTGAAAACATTAGTATTCGCTACATGTAAAGAAATTTTCAGTTCCGGAGTAATGCCGTCAAATCTTAAGAAGAGTGTCACAGTTTTGATACCCAAAAAGAACAAAGATCCAAGAAGAATCGAAAACTTAAGGCCTATTAGTCTCCTGAATACATTTTACAAAATCATAACAAAGTTGCTAGCCACAAGACTAGCGAATGCTGCACCGAACATAATAAATGTAGATCAGACTGGATTCCTTAAAGGGAGATACATAGGTGAAAACATTCGATTAATACTTGACGTCATGCAGGCATGTAAAAACAAAAATATTCCTGCAATCCTACTAGCATGTGACCAAGAAAAGGCTTACGATAGCGTTGATTGGTCTTACATGAAAAAGACATTGAAACGATTTGGGTTTGGAAGAGACTTTTGTAGATGGATTGATATTATTTACAATGGTGGGCAGGATACATCATGTCAGGCAAATGTGCAAATAAACGGTAAATTGTCAAGCCCGTATAAAATTGAGCGAGGCCTTAGACAGGGATGCCCTTTGAGTTGTCTCTTATTTATCATATGCTTTGAACCACTTCTAGAGAGAATTCGTAAAGAAAATGCAATTAAAGGACTGACAATTAACGGAGCAAATGTTAAAGTATCTAGCTACGCTGACGACTTAACGATTATCATGGATGGATCTGAGCTATCTCTAAATAAATGTATGGATACCTTTGAGGACTTCGAAACAGCATCTGGGCTGAAATTGAACCGGCATAAGTCACAAGCTCTATGGTTGGGTAGGAACGGGCATTTAAGAAAGCCGATTTGCACGCAATTTAATATCCAGTGGCCAACGACACCCATTAATGTATTGGGCGTGAAGGTATCTAACAACCCGAATATTAACATTTCAGAAATAAATTATAATGAGAAATTTGTCATAATGAAGGATAAACTAGCGCCATGGATAGGTCGCGGTCTTACTCCATACGGGCGCGTTCACCTTTTGAAAACCGAATTGATATCTCAGCTGGTGTATGTTATGACAGTGCTTCCAGCTCCTCCAAAACCATTTATAAAAGAAGTAGAAAAGCTCATGTTCAAATTCATATGGGGCGGAAAGAAAGATAAAGTCAAACGTATGACATTAAAAAGTAAATATAAAGGTGGCGGCCTAAAGGTGCCAGACTTAGCACTTCAGGCACAGAGTTTAAAGGTTACCTGGATAAAAAGACTCGATAAAAGCCACGATGCTAAGTGGAAGGGCCTGGTGACCCCAATGCTTTTTCTAAATGACGACATAACGCTGTTTCACTGCAATACAAATGCAAAGTACATAAAAAACACGGTAAAGAATACTTTTTGGGAGGAAACGTGCATTGCATGGAATAACATTAACGGAGCTAATCTTAGTGCCACAGATCAATTGCAAAATAGCATATTATGGGCGAACAAAGATTTGAACATAGAAAGCAATGCCAATATCAACAGGAAACATCTAATAGAAAAAGGTATCATTAGACTAGCAGATATATGTAACTTACGAAAGAAAGAATTAATGACAGTCAATGAAATTTCACAAAAATTTGGTGTGCACCCAATGGTTTCAGCGGCAATAAAAAACGCAGTGCCAACCGCTTGGAGCAATAAAATACGAAACCTTCAGAGAAGTGTCAATGCAACATCTATAGAACAGTTGCAAAATTTATCTAAACCAGCAAGATGGGCATACTCCAAGTTATTAGAACAAGTATTAGATACTACTCGGGGTGAAAAATCGCACACAAAGTGGGAAGCAGAGCTTGAAGGTGGAAGGCGGCTGAATTGGCCTGCTATTTACGCACGATTGCATTACGCTGTTGAAGATGTTAATCTAAAATGGTTGAATTACAGATGCATAAAAAGAATTTTACCAACAAACAAACTTCTTTTTACTTGTAACATCAAAGATACGGATCGATGTACGTACTGTCACCAGGTGGAAACAATTGGACATTTATTCTGGCATTGCCACCGAGTAAGGGCTTTTTGGAGCAGTATTGGTGAGTTATTTAACGGGCGCAATATTACATACAAAGTCGTAGTCACCGGTTTTGAGCACAACGATTCCGCGGTCTGCAAGCGCATCAATACTATTCTTTCATTGGGAAAACAGTTTATATGGTATAAGAGGGAATGCAATAGTCACTTATCTGAGCCCACATTCGTCACTTACCTGTACAACTATCTTAAAGTAGAAAGGTATGCTTATAAAATAAATGATCGAGAAACGAAATTCAACGATACCTGGGGCTCGTTGTTTTGCGCTTTAGCGGAGCGTGTAGCAAGGTAACCGCCTTAGAATATGAAACAAGCACTTTGTGACTAATTATTGTTGTGTGTCACGATGTTTGCGTAGTGCAACATGATGTGTACAGTTTTTTTTTCTACGATGGGAAGGGGGGATGGGGCAAATGTCAGGTGTCGATGATACACAATGTTAAAATGACTGTCCTTTGTATGTATGTATGCATATGGTGTTTGTTATATAAAGTGTTAGTGGAAAACGATGTGCGCGCTACAAGCCCCCGCCCCCATGACCCATCCGGGCCAACCCGGGACTGGCCCCTCCTGTGAGGGGCCGGTCGGCCGGCCGGGCGTGCGGAGCGCCGACCTAGACGGGTCGACGCTTCGCTCGCCCGGTCGGTGGTTAGGGGGCACCGCCCGGGGCTGCTTGCCGGGCGGTGCGGGCGGGGGCTGGCGGCCCGCCTGGAGCGCCGGGGAGGTAGCCATCAGATCTCCCCGGCTGGGGAGGTATCCCACAGCTCTCCCCGGGGCCGGGACGGCATATGTCACGAATTGACACCGTCCCGGCCTGGCCAGGCGGGTCGCCGATGGGAGCACAAAAATGTTTTTATGCTTATTTTTGCTTGTGTTTTATGTGAATTGTGTTAATAAAATGTATGGAAAAAAAAAGACGAGCTGTATGCAAGTTATGGCCGTATCTAACTGGAAAAGACTGGAAATGGAAACTTACGTTGTTGCAACTTACGAGTATAATGTATTATCACCAGCTTACGAATTCCCCTTACTTGTCACCGTCTCTTTGCCATAAAACTACCATTGCCGTCATAATAATCGTAATTAAGACATGTAACCGTGACCTGTGTACGACCCTGACCTGTGCACGTACGACACTGACCTGTGTACGATCGGGAGTCGTCGAAGCCCGGGAAGAAGTGTCGCTCGCAGGTGGAGGACGGGGAGGCCTCCAGCGTACTAGGCGTGAGACGCACACCGCGCCCGAACGCCGGCGACGGCTGGGGCGACACCGCGCCCGGCGAGGCACCTGGCGAGCGCAGAACGAGTCAGCGGCGTGACAAATACACGGTCAGCGGCGTGACAAACACACGGTCAGCGGCGTGACAAACACAGGAATGACCAAGTCAGATGCGTGACAAAACGGAACGACCATTCAGCGGCGTTACAAATAGGAAACAACTGGTCAGTGACGTGACAAGCACACTCCTGACAAACTCATAAAACGCCTGGCTGCCGACTAACATACCTACTAACGGCCCGGTCAGCGACAGCGTCGGTGAGATAATTATCGCATCGTATTGCTCACACGGCAGAGTCGTGCTACGCACTCTAAATAATGTAACAGCACGTCACAGTCATAAAAGGACGCTCAACACAACGCGCGTCGACTGGTATTCAGTTTTCTGAACGAAATAGAACAGGCACAGAAACTCGTCACTGGGCGAAATTGATCATGTCGCATGCTACGGATTACATAATGGGCCTGCGCTGCCATTTCAGTTCTTGGTACGTCATTGTGAGCGACATTAGTCATTAGTCTCTAATGACTTCAAAGGTAAATGGTGGCCGGGTCTGTTATCTAATACCAGGCTAGATGAAACTTACGCCTGAAAGGTCGATAAGGCCTTTTGGTCTCCCTTAAACCGATGCCGATATGCCTAAAACATGTTGTCTTATCCGTCCTTATGCACCGAATAACTTTTGCTGCTGTTCCTTTGCTCAGAAGGTATTAGCCAAATGTTCTCCGACCCCTCTCTACTACTCCACAACTTTTACTGTCGCTCAACTACGAGCGACAGTAAAAGTCGCTCGTAGAGGGTGCGAGGTGCGAGAGGATCATGACTCGTATTGGTCATGATCCTCTCGCACCCTGCACATTCCGACAAAAAGTGAAAGTGTGTGAAAGAAAGCAGTTTGATCCCTAGTTACATCCATTCGCGTTGCTCTGGCGTTAGATGCAGCCCGTCAGCCCCGCCCGTCAGTGCAGCGCGGCGCGCTCAGCTGAAATCACTGGGAGGTATACTGCGCCGCAGGACGCCTCTGCTCGGCGGTACAGCCTATACACGCTTACGTTCACCACTGCCGGGCGGCTGCACTGGCCGCAGCATTCACGAAGAACTCGAGACTGAATGGAAATGCAGCGTGTGGACACAGGAGAGTAGTTAATTTGGCTTGTAAATAATTTTGATACTTTCAAAATAAGAGCATACCTACATTTGGTTGTATTTACTTAGAAGATTCCGAACCGACTGCCGGCTGGCTGGGATTCACTTTGACATTTTTCTTAAGATGTTACTTTAAAGTGTATCGGTTAGAATTTAATAGTAATTAATTCGGAGTGGATAATTTTCAATCTTAACAATAATTTTGCATCATTCCCTCGGGTGCTCGCGCAGTGTCACTGAGCAGCTCTGTTGCCGGTACGTGTGTCTATCGCAGAGGATACGGCTCTACCGTGTGTCTATCGCAGGGAACACGGCTCTGCCGGCGCCGCTCAATACCCGCACGGACCGGCCGGCGGGCGATAGTCGTCCGTAGACCTCCGGCGGTCACCTGCATTTCTGATCAGTTTCGGCGGTGTGCGGCCGGACCCGTTCGCCGCACCGTCAGGTCACCGTCAGACCCGTGGCCAGCGGCGGTCACGGTCGGAACTGGCAGCCACCAGCGGCTCGGTCCGCGGTGTCTGACAAATGTCCTCCCCGGAGCTCTGTGCCTACCTCAGGGTGGTGGAGAGCCCAATCCTCATTAACAATAGACGACGATAGATTATAGAGCTGACTGAGCTTTGCAATCACTCTAGCTCGTATACCTACTATAGTGCAGCGACCAATGTAAACTTTCCGGTCAACTGATCTTCTGCGCTTATGTGTAACCTGACATCCACCAGAATTGGGATATTACGGAGCAGGCACTGTCTATGCAGTGAAGAACATTTGAATAATGTTCTTCCGTTTGCATCTTTCAACTAAAGAATTAAAGCCAGGAGAAATCTTCTAGTAGCATATTATGCATGGGATGAGATAAATGGACTGACCAATATGATCATTAGATAGGAATCATATCTTTCATCTAATCGATTTGTATTTGGAGTGAAAGAAACACTGCTTATTCCACTATCTGACAATTGCATAGGCCTATTATAGCTCGCTACTTCAAAAAGGTATTCACTGCCCATGGACTGGCTTTCCTTTGTAGGTGTTCGTGATTTCCTGCGGCTTCGGCCCCTACATAGTAAAACACCTGACCTGTGGCGCACCGCTGACGACGTTCCAAGAGTGAAGCGTCAGCTCAGCGTTGATGGGCGCGGTCCCCGCCGAGAAAATGGCGCCAGCCGAGCAGCGATTAGCCCGACAGCCTCTGTCGGAACTTATTAACGAACAGGTGTCGACGCAGCCAACCAGGAGAACTGGGCCGTGCCCCTCTGCTCCCCAGCAACGGGCATAGGAGGTAAATAAAGTGAGACCCATCTCTGCGATGGGGCGAACTTGCCTTTTCTCATTTTCAGAGGGATATTGTTGTTTGTTATTGTTGTAGAGTGCCCACTGCTTGCTATTTTAAGATTTATATATTTTTCATCGTTTGTCGTAGTAGTTGTGGCATGCCTTTCAAATGCCGATGATAGAAGAAAGCATGGTGTAATTTGAACACCGGTATTGAAAATGAAATACATTTATTTTCGATATTGAAGATCAATATATTTCAGTTCCAATTCACCTCATTTACCTATTTAGATAAATGAGTTTGAATATTTTAGCTACAACCTTTAGTCTTTACCATTAAATAATTAGCTAAAGGCCGCCCCACACTGGACCTCGCATGCGGGTTGCGAGTTTTTGGGTTTTCGGGTTTCCTCAAAATCAAATAATACAAACTAAGCTGAGTGACCCACACTACCATCGAACAAGCGAGGCTGCGTGTTTTTAGCTTGCGAGCCACCTTGCTTCGCATTCCAAACGTTGATTTTGAGTCAACTTCCGATTTTCCTCGCTGCGAGGTCTGCGAGTTCTGCGAGGTTTGCGGGTTTTTCGTTGAAGTCGAATTTAGGTTCGTTGCGCTGGTTTTGCCATGTAATTTTCTGAAGGTGTACCGGCTTCACTGCATTCATGAAATTACGATAAGGGAACCGCCCTTATGGTAAATAATAATAATCACTCCTAATCACTCTATGAATTAGTATTATGCCGGCAAACTCAAAACCCGCAAACTCGCAACCCGCATGCGAGGTCCAGTGTGGGGCGGCCATTAGATAGATATACGTGTGTGTGACGCAGACATTCTCCGATGTTTGCAACAGCCTTTCGGTTTTGTACCAGCCGGGTTAACGTTCAACAGCAATCAACAAAGATTTTTCCATTGCAAGAGACAAATGGCACTGTCTTGAGTTTTGAAAGAAATATAAACATGAAACAAATCATCTTACGAAGGGACGTCATTTGCAACTAGTGCTGACTGAACTATGCATACAGGGCCATCATTCAGCCCAGTATCTATTTTCCTGGGCCTCTCCTAACGCTGGCCATCGCTCGTCTGCGGCAATACTGACTTGTTCTGATGATGGAGGGGACCGGCGGCTTCAGCTTGTCCTCGCTGGAGGTTTCCGAGAGCACCGAGTCCATAGTGTGGCTCCTCGTGTCGTGGTACCTGAAACACACCAGAGGCGGATGGTATAAGTGTTATTTCGCGAACGGATCGGCGACTCAAGACGAAACCCCTACATAATAATAAACCCAAGGGCCTTGAGCCGGTCCTAGCCGAAATGTCTGAAGAAAAGATGGACGATGGCAGGCGGGCAATTAACATGTCTAAGAATGATATTCCGTGCGCGCAAAAACACTTTACCAAACTCACTCGTAGTTGTCTACAAACAGCTTAACAGACGGCACATGTGTAAACACACACATACAGGCACACAAACTGAGCGGGGAGGAGCCACTTTCCCCTTTGACCGTTACCAGTCGGACACTTGTGCCGGGTACACGCTAAGCATCTTTATTTCCATAGCTCTGACATTAAGCTGATGTGTAAAGCCACCTGGTAAGCGGCTTTTCTGTCGGCTAAATGAGGTCGCCTGGCACGGCGTGCCAAATCCCCTCGGCCCAGCGAATTGGTACAATGCCTGACGTGGCATTAGCAAGCCGCTGTATCAAACAGACGTGCATAACTTCAGCTCCACTGCCAATAGAGAAATTCAGTGCCCATCAAACATTCCTTTATGTTTCAAAAGCAGAAAGCGGTTACCAATAGGAGATAACTGGGTGTAAAGGACGCCGCGGCTCCATTTACCATCCCGATGCATTGTGTCTCCGCTGCAATCATGTTTGAAACAATGCGGAGTTCTGAGACAGGTGCTGCTGATGTGTACCTACACCTGAGCAGCGACTTAAGCACACTGGCTGACAAGAGCTAAGAAGATTAAGTCTCGATACATGTGCTGCGGTCGAGAGTACATTTGTCTTGCGGATTAACGAGGTCGGCAGTATAAGGCGTCTTTGAAGTCAGGCTTCAGTGCGTTTCACCTCAGAGTGGTTGGCCGTCTCCAAAACGTGCCAGTTACAGCGTGAAGGAGGCCGCCTTTGACCTGTCCCCAGTCCCTATGCGGCCGGCGTAGGGCGGCGGCTCGCTCCCAACTGATCTCGGAACCGACTTGGCTTGCAGCTAGCTGCTCATGCTGCCACCCTAGCCGATTCATTCAGACAGCGGTATAAGTTATTACCAAAGGCCGTCACAAAGCATCCGCGCTTCTGCTAGTTACTTCAAGATAGTCCTGCGGTGATATTAGCCCGCGGTGAAATTACATACATTTGAACCCATACATTGTCTGAAGTTGTATTCCACTAGCCTTGTTCACCCTCTCCACCGTCAATGATGAAGCCTTCAGGAAACCTACTCCCGAACAGTTCACCCGCCTCCCTGGTCTGTCACTTCCCACCGACACCTTCACACCACCAACTTCTCCAGCTGTCCCGACCTCCGGGGGTCGGCCGGCCGCCCCTAAGTCCGCTCCTCGGGGGGTCGACTGGCCACGGTACAGCTCGGTCCTCCGGGGGGGGGGGGGGGTCGGCGGGCCCACGGTACAGTCCGCTCCTCCGGGGGTCGACTGGCCGCTCCACAGTCCGCTCCTCCGGGGGGGGGGGGTCGACTGGCCGTCCCACAGTCCAGTCCTTCGGGGGTCGACTGACCGCCGCCCCAGTCCAGTCCTCCGGGGGTCGGATGACCGCCCCACAGCCCGGTCCTACGGGGGTCGGCCGACCGCCGCCCCACCGACCGCGGACCGCTCACCGCTCACACCGGGCCGCTCACCGCTCACACCGGACCGCTCACCGCCAGCCGGCTCCGGCGGCCTCCGCGTCATCACCCGAGTTATGGCGGCCATGAATATCGCTCAGCCGAGCACTTGCATAAGCTCTAATGCACCGAGCGGCTCCCATATCCGGCGCTCGAACGGCCGAGTTCATTGGACCGCCGCGCCGGCCGGCGCTCAGGGACGCGCTGTTTCGTAACCGAGACGGACGGGCGCCGACACAGCCGAGCCGGGGACTGAGACCGAGCACCCCACTGCTGCCAGGGACGCGGGGTGCCATTGCAGCTCTTTGACCAGCTGGGGTCAGTTTCAAGAGGAGGGTCGGCAGGCTGGAGAGGTGAGCGAGCACCCATCTCAGCCACCTCACCCATCTGTTCAGGGTCAGTGCAGTAGACGTCTAACGGAGCCGGGCTAGGTATCGGCCGCTGCCGTCCCTGCAGCTGCACCCAGTGTGCCGCCCCACCTGTCCCACGGGGACGGTGACCGGAGGTCAGTCCCTGCGCTCAGTGGGTCGCCCTCCCGTCCCACTGGGGGCTCTCCCTGCGCCCAGTGTGCCGCCCCACCTGTCCCACTGGGGGCTCTCCCTGCACCCAGTGTGCCGCACCACCTGTCCCACTGGGGGCTCTCCCTGCGCCCAGTGTGCCGCCCCACCTGTCCCACTGGGGGCTCTCCCTGCACCCAGTGTGCCGCACCACCTGTCCCACTGGGGGCTCTCCCTGCGCTCAGTGTGTCGCCCCACCTGTCCCACTGGGGGCTCTCCCTGCACCCAGTGTGCCGCCCCACCTGTCCCACTGGGGGCTCTCCCTGCACCCAGTGTGCCGCACCACCTGTCCCACTGGGGGCTCTCCCTGCGCTCAGTGTGTCGCCCCACCTGTCCCACTGGGGGCTCTCCCTGCGCCCAGTGTGCCGCACCACCTGTCCCACTGGGGGCTCTCCCTGCGCCCAGTGTGCCGCCCCACCTGTCCCACTGGGGGCTCTCCCTGCACCCAGTGTGCCGCACCACCTGTCCCACTGGGGGCTCTCCCTGCGCTCAGTGTGTCGCCCCACCTGTCCCACTGGGGGCTCTCCCTGCACCCAGTGTGCCGCCCCACCTGTCCCACTGGGGGCTCTCCCTGCACCCAGTGTGCCGCCCCATCTGTCCCACTGGGGGCTCTCCCTGCACCCAGTGTGCCGCACCACCTGTCCCACTGGGGGCTCTCACCGACCGGGGGTTATGGCGGACAATCAAGTACGGACTGCGCGGCGCAGCGACCCTGGCGAAGGGGGCCGTGGGGGAGGTGGCGTGAATGGGAACAGGGAGGGGTAACTGAGTCGAGGCCCGAGCAGTAATGTATTGAGCGAGGCAAGCTGTTGGCTAATAAAGACGCTACCCTGCTCTCAATTACCTGCTGGGAACTGGTCACTATGCCCTTCAGGTAGCCTACCATTGCGAATTATGAACTGCTCATATGCGAGCATTACGGATATCGTATGTCGTAAGTTGGAGGAATGTTTCCTGCATCGTTATGCCTTCAAAAACATGATATTGAAACACTATCGTCATGAACAGGCTGCTGGTTGCTGACGATATTTCTTCTCCGCGATTGATATCGGTGCTTGCACGTTTCGTCTGAGAGAACTATAGGCCTTGCAAAGCTCTTGTGATAGTTCTCAGCGGCAGTGAAGTCCACCGTCACTCTCTACCACTCATAACATCCGATTTTTGCCCTTAAGAAACCAAGTTACTTCAAGCTGTCTCACGGCTACAAATGTTATCGATCTTTAAGCACTAGAACGACTGAAGTGCATCGACAAACACACTGCAGCTACTTGCCTAATTAGGCTGCAAACAGCCAGTGTGGCACGCTCCTAATTTGGCAAATGCGACACCAGCCTTACACCGATGCTTTACGAAGAAATTGAGGCCATATATGCTCTTTCATATATGCTCTTACAGAAGTAGCATTATTACGATTTATTATCCGGCCTAATTTCCTAACATCGTCCTGCGTAGGGATGGCGTGTGATGCCTCTCTCCGGCTCGGTGGCGTTATCGTAGATTCACAGCACAGTGCCTTACATTATTCCGATGTTTTTTTTATTTGAATATCATTGTTGAGAACCCAGAATAAACATGTAAAAATCACCAAAAAGGGAGGCGTTTCTAAACTGTCTGAAGCACTAGCGATCCCACGGCAGTGCCCTGTTGGACATGGCGCCGCTGACTCTGGGCCCTAGCTGCGCTGACTTCCTGATGCGCCCGCGGCAGTGGGAGCCGGCCACAGAGACCAGACGCGGCGGCCGCCGGCTGGCCCGGCCCACCCAATCAATAGAGCGTATTGTTATCACATTAACGCCGCGGCGGCGGGCCACCGGCGTCCGTCGGCCCGGCGCGGCGTCATACACCGGCCTGCGTCGGCCGGAGGGGCGTCATCCACCGGAATACACCGCCCTTGGCAGCGTCATACACGACCCTGAGCAGCGTCATCCACCGGAATACACCGCCCGGGCAGCGTCATCCACCGGAATACACCGCCCTGGGCAGCGTCATACACGACCCTGGACAGCGTCAGACCGGAATACACCGCTCGAGCACCGTCACACCGTAAAACAAGGACCTGACCAACGTCATACCAGCATACACCGCCCGGCCACCGTCATCCATACTGCAAACGAAGAGGTAGGTAAGATATATGGCTGTGTATATGTCTATGTCTGTGACATTGCGACAGAGCCTCGCCACTGCTGTTCGTTACCGTTTACCTTCTCATGCGCGCTCGCACGCACCGAGCTCCTGGGATGCGTACACCACACGCTCTCTCCCTCCATTGTCTCTGCCCGGGGGCGTGGTGGATCGCTGATGACCCGCGGGGGGGGGGGCAGGGGAAGGGGAGCACAGGCGCCGCGCTGTGCACAGTGGGAGGTCGGCAGACGACCGACGGACAGACGCAGTGGCCGGTCCTGGTGCCAGCAGGCACGGGCAGGACCCAGGAACGCTGCCAGTCGCTGGAGTAACACGCAGTACGTTTTGGAGACAAGCTCGGGTACATTACCAAAACTGATGGCCTTTTTAGCCACATGATTTACCACACGAGCTACGAATATTTTCCGAGCGATATTATAAAAGTGGAGCTAAAAGTTGTTTCTATTCGAAAGTCAATGCGATGTAAGTTTTGTTCAAAACAAATAGGCACCTAAGCATGAGAAAAATAAATCGAGATGTTTTCATCACATCGAATGCATACCTGTTCATCGAATCTGAATTTTTTTCTTCGCTTATCGACATGCTACTGACCTTGATGACGAAAACAGAGTGGCTTGAATCGTTGGGCGCATTGAGCAAACGTATACGGTAAATGGA